CAAACTATCCACACACATGATTTGACTATAGTGACTGACCACACATTTTGGAAAAGTCAACTACAGAGAAATAGTGTACAGCATGTCACAAGGTCCCCAAATGACCCTCTTCAGGTTTTGAATTCAGAGTTGTCCTTCTAGACCAGTTGGCACTTAAGGCTATAGATCCCAGTCTGTCCTGCTATTTATCCATATGTGGGAGAGTGATTGTGTGTTTTTCTCTCTCTATATATATATATATATATATATATATATACAATGTACACACACACACTTTGTCATGTATTACTGTAATTTTTTTAATTTTAGCTGCTGGACACACACACACACACACACACACACACACAACAAAAAAAACCAAAAAACTGCCCTTTTATTTATATTTTGACAATATTAGAGGTGTGTGTATATATATATATATATATATATATATATATATATATATATTATATATTGGTTCCCAGACTCCATGAATTTAAGCCCTACAAGGCTGGCATCCCGCCCCCACCCTTACACTATAGAAACATTAAGTGTAGCCGTCTCTTCTACTCCAATAGGACCATACCTTGCACCTCCTCGCCTGTGGAACACCCTTCCCAATTAATGTTTCCTGAAAGCTATAATCTCCAACTATTCAAATGTAATGTCAATCGACACCTCCAGTTACCTTGATCTACCCACTATCCTTCTCCTCATCCTTTTCTTCTATCACTCCTATTTGCTCTCGCCTCCAAATCTTCTGCAACCCCCTGCATCCTAGTGGCTTCACGCCTTGCTCGGGGCGAAATGCTTAAAAAAAAAAAAATATATATATATATATATATACACACACTAGTGGGTCTTAAATGCCACTTAAGATTATTGCACAAACTTTCATAACTGAATCAATAAGCTGTCAGATCCTCATACGTTGAAAAACATACGGGAGTCCATTATTTTTCATATATATATATATATATATATATATATATATATTTATATATATAAATTTCCAAGAGGATAGAATCCAGGTAGAACTCAATGCCCAGGACAGAGAAGTTTCATAAAGATATATTTATGTTCAGGGCAGCAGAAGTGTTGAATAAGTTGAAAGCATATGACCTCCAATCATGATGATGATAATAATACTGGCAATTGCATCAATGTTTATTTATAGAGATCTGATAGGTCTTAAGTTCAGCTCCTAGATTATCTACTTGTAAAGATGAATCTGCAATATTCAAGCAGACTTTGGTTATCAATCATTTGTTGATCTTTTGTATGAAAAACAAAATACTAAAGTTTTGAAATCCAAAATGTAATTATACTTGAGTTGAAATATATTTTTTTTTTTTTTTTTTTTTTTTAAAATGAAAAAAAATAACTCTAGCATATCATTTCTTATTTTAGCTTCTTTCGTGTGTATCATGAATTACATTATTTGCCATTAAATTTTCAGCATAATTTTTTTATTTCGTTTGGCCTGGCATTTATTTTTTTCTTCTTTTGTTTGATAAAATTTTATCTGGTGCCACCTTCAATCTTAATCAGATTTTGCAATCTTGCTTTATTTCCAGATTATTAATGCATGCATGCTCAATCCCAAAAGGTATCCTCCAAATTTATGCACATTTTAATTATAAATAACTGTTAGGTTTATTGAAATTTAGTATTGTTTAATGTTTATTTAAAATTTAATTTGTAATAAAAAATAAAAGTCAAAGAAGATTATAAAAGCATTAAATGTTTTATAATAATTGATATGTTGTCAATGTTCAATATCCCTCATAAATTATTTCTGTATTCTTAGGATTTTCTCTTTCTTCACCAGAGAGGCTAGCCTCAGGAGATTAAGGAGTCTACTAGAGTGGCTAGCTTATCCTTTTGTGTGCTTTCAATGCACAGAGCGCCAACCAATGATTTATACTGTAACTGTTAAGTAGGCTCAAGTTACAGTTTCTGGGAGAGAGTACATAATCTGGTGTGATCAGTAATTGAACAAGGCCAGTACACTGAAACACATAGTTACAATGACTTGTGACATTGTGCTTGCATAATCATTGACTGCTTCCAGTTTTGTCCTTCCCAATTTCACTCACAATGTTTCACTCAACTTGTTATATGGTTTTCAGACACTTCTCAGTTAGACCTGGGTATGATGATAAACTACATCTGGCAGCATGGCCTCTGATCAAGAGATTGGAGATTTTGTGAAGCGTGCAACCACCTCTTAATTGCTATTGTTCCCAGGTTCACTCCGACCTGGGATGGTAGCACTTGTTAGAGTCCCAGCTATTGGCAAATAATAAATCTTCAAACAAAACACTATGAAAAGATAAAAATACATTTTTATATTAAAAAAATTACCAACAATACATATTTGTAGTTGAAAGCATACAATTGTGTTAAAAATATATTTAGTTGAAGCTATAAAATTGTTTTCAAAATATTTAGATTTCAGTATTATATAACCCAAACAAAACCAACTAACCAACACTTCCCAATGATACCACAGGCTGGGGTCATTACCCCAGCCCAATATTATCAAGGAATCACTTTCTTGACAAATCAACAAGGGTGAAATTTGAACCTGGGTTTCATGGTCAGAACACTTGGCCAGATGCCAACCCTCATATAACATTAATTGGCTAAGTGATAAATTTTATATTTGTATTAATCTTGTATATATAAAATGAACATCCTAAAAATACTTTGTTCATTTTTAGAATTTTATAATTAAGTATAAATTTGATATATATATATATATATATATATATATATTTATATATATTTTGTTTTAATTTTGTATTATTTTGAGATGTTACAGACTTAGTAGCCAATAAAATCTGTATACATTTTGGAGGATAACTTATGTACACACATGATTTGTTTTTAATATGATTTGCAAATGCAAATAAATTCTTACTGTGAATGATTAGTAATAATCTCTTGTGCATTGTGCTGTAAGTTTTTTACACCACCTTTTAAATGGAATGAATTTGCATACTTAATAGAGTGTCTCCATTTTTACTGGTGTGGAAGTTTGTGTAAATTTATAAGCTTTTTTTTTAACATCTGCACTGCTTTTTGTTGCATTCTTAAAATTCTTACCTTTTTGAGGATTTAAAGTAACAAAGAGACAAATGTATTAGCATATTTCTGACAGATAAAAATAATTTTGTAGTAATCCTAGAAAAATAGGTATGTAGAAAAACTGATGACCATAATAGTCTGCAAGGTACTAAAAGATAAACAAAAATTCTACCTTGTCTAAAGAGAAAAAAAAACTTTCTGATCATGGAAGAAAATGATAACTTCTAAAGCATATAGTCCAGTGGTTCTCAATAGGGGTGAAATTCATCCCCAGGGGTGAATTGTGACCACAGTAAGTTTAGTGAGGTGGGGAGGAAAGCAATTATAGAATTTGACCTATCTGGCCTGTCACCTTGAAAAGTGGGTGGGGATGACATTCTGACAAATGGTGAAAGGGGTACATGAGGCAAATAAGGTTGTGGACCCCTGATATAGACCATTGATTCAGCATAACAAATTGTCATATAGCCTTCCCAAGAAACACAAGGTCAGTAGTAGATTTCTGTGGTTCAGCATGTAATATCTGAGATGTTCCTTGGCTGATTAGTCAATAACACTTTAGTGCAGTTCACCAATGCCTGTCATGAAGTCTGCCCATTTTGTGCATTTTAAATTTTAATAAGGAAAAATTAGTCATGAAATTTGAAAATAGGAAATTTTGGTTTAGCATTCTGAAAGAAGATTAAAGGTACAGTTTTCATTTAAAGGGATTTATGAAGAATCTACTATTTTTTATTTTATTTATTTTAAAGCGAGGTTAATAACAAATTTAAATCCCGTGAGCAAGGGAAAAAAGGAATGGATTATCCGCTCCTTGAAGATTTAATGGATTATCCGCTCCTTGAAGATTTAATGGATTTAACATCCTGTTTAAAATATAAAGTAGTTATGACTTGACTTAGACATGGAAGCCAAATGGTTAGTGTCTCTAGCTTTTTAAAAATAAATATTTTTTAAATGTAAAAATAATTCCTAAATTACTCTGTTAATTTGGGGTACACCTGGTTACCTTTTCAGGGTAAAATAGTGTGCCTGGCTGGACTGGTTGAGAAATGCTGGTCTATATGGGTATCTTAAATACACAAGTTTTTTTTAATTTTGTTTCTTTATTTTTGATTGTGAAAACTCGGATCATATATACAGTTTATAAGAAAGAAAGAGCATAACAAACTTTCAACTTTAACCCTCTGTTAGTCACCTTGAATTTCCCAAAATGGATAATCCCCTGGCGTCTGTCTTCCAACTGACCTATAACTGTACCAATCCTAGACACTGAATCAGAAGAGAAGTGGGAGGGAGCAAAAGTAACAAGTTGCCAACTAAGAATTATGAGTACTTTAAAGATTTTGGGGTAACAAAACAACCCATGTGACTAATACAGTGTTAAATGTCTTTGTCACAGGTTAGTTTTCAGCATTTAGTATAGAAAGCGCAACCAAAAGAGGATTCTACTTGGATTTTAGTACAAAGGATCACTTCAGTGATTGTGAGGGAACAGTTTATTACCGTTTATGCTAAGATCATCAACAGTGATCAGAAGAATCTAAAGGAAGAATAAAAACATGTCAACAATTCTCCCAAAAAGGAACACTTATCCATCTTATACAATATCTGTGATTTAGAGGAACAGCAGGATGAACCCTGGAAATATCAATTATGCATCAGATTTTAAGTTAATTCCATCCTTTTCAAACCATGTGCAATAGTGACACCCACCTCCTGTTAGAATTATATTCAAAATTAATTAATTCTGGATTTTGGAGAAATTAAACTAAAAAAACTGTTCATGAGTGGTAGAGCATATGGATTTTATTGAGTAAAAGCCATTGATCCTGATTCAATTGAAAGATCAGTTATAGCACTTATTCTTTACTGATGTATATGTTAGAAGACATGTTTGTTGAATAACCTTGATCATTCTTTTGTAGAATCTTTGTTTCGGGCCAGTAGCACCAAGTTTGACAAACAGTATGAATTTGTTCCAATTAATTTGCATCTCCAGAGAATGCAGTTAATTGATGAAAATACAAATACCAGTAAGTACTTTTTTTTCTCTTTATCTTGCTTTGTTTAAGTGAAGAAGAAAAAAATGAATCAGATGCATCATCAGCTAGTTACAATGAAGTGTAATAGATGAAAGAATAAAAGAAACAAAAAAAGTTTCTTTTCACTTAACTGTATAAATTAAAAAAGACACACATTTAAAGTGCAATGTGTTTGCTTAAATAGTATATATGTATTAAACACTTCTACATCTGCATTATCAGAAAAGTCCACTGTATAGAGATGAAAGTATTGCCTTTTTTCTTCTGTAGAAAAATAACTGTAATATAATGATGTAAATAAATTTTTAAGGTATTATATATTTAAATATATATTAAAAATTATTTTTATTTATAGCATTCCCAGATTCTGCTTTTGTTTTGGCCCATTTCAAGATCCTTTACATCCTAGTGTAATTTTTTTTATTATTCCTGTTTTGGATTCAAAATTTTGAAAATGAATTAGTTTGTTTGATGATTTGCAAGAGTGTGAAACCCAGGGTCACAAACTCACATCAATCCAACTAAATATGTTGGCTCTATCACTGATATTGAGTGCTTTCCAATAAGTACTATGCATATATAGTATATAAATAATATATATAAAAATTACATACTACACACACACACATATATATATATATATATATATATATTACAATTTCTAGTTGGATTGGCATCACAAAATCATGCTTATAGCAAAAGTTCAAATCTTAGCTTTTCTTTCATAATTGTTATGGCATTTATTTTTTTTAAATCTAACATATGGGTCAGAAGTGGTACTAAATTTTCACTATAGTTCCTTATTTTTAATAATTAATCAAAGACTATCATCACAGTTACTAAAACATTAATCAAATTCCAAATATGTAATATAGAAGCACTCAGTATGTACAAATATGTTGCAATTAATAATAATTTGAAATTAGTATTTTGGGGAAATTTCTCCCTCCCCCCCAACTCTCAGTAAAAATAAACATGTGACATTTTATTTGAAAAATAAAATAAACCTTAATTTTTAGATATTTTTTTATTTAAAAAAAAAAAATATATATATATATATATATATATATATTTTTTTTTTTTTTTTTTAATTGATAGTAGAATTTTTTTTTTCTATTGATATGTTAGGAAGCAGCAACTTGTGATATATATAGTACAGGTAAAAATCCATGGGTAAGTAATACAAGTAGATCCTAATAACAAAATATTAAAACTGATCCACAAAAGAGAGCTCAATATATTAATTATAGAGCATGTAAATGAATTACATAAAAATGAAACTCTATTACCCCATTCAGATGGCCATTTCACCCCTGGGATATTCTTCATGGGGCTTGTCAATGCAAAAACGTTTGTTAAAAAAATAAATTTTAAAGTTTTTTTTTTTTTTTTTTTTTTTCCCGAAATAAAAATTAAAGAAGGAAGGAAAGAAAGAAGAAAGAATGGGAACAAACAACAAATAAAGGAAACAACATTAAAAGAGAGATAAGGGAAATGAAAGAAAACTAATGTAATTAAAAAGAATGAACAGGAAGTCATGTCATAGACAAGTCTAGCCAGAAAATAAAAAAACATTGAAGATTAATAATGACCTATATTTAACATATCAACTCTTGTTCAAATGGGAAAAATTTACATAATTAATAATTAACAGTTAAGAAAAAAGAAGAGTTTTAAAGATTATAGATAAAGGAAAATTATAATATAAAATTAATACTGTTATATCATTTATATATTGTATAAAGAAATTTTTTATTAAAAATTTTGATATTAATAACTCATTAAATTATTATATAGTTATATCAAATTAAGAAAATTTATCTACTTATTAAATTGTAAATAATTGGTAACTTATTACTTATTTAGTCTAATGTAATTATATATTCTTACACTTTATTATTAAGTAAATTTATTAAATCAATATTAATACATTCAATATTATATAGTAAAAATTTTGATTAGTAAATTATTAATTTATATCAAATATAATAAATATTCATATATTATATATTTATATTAATAATATTTAAATATTAAATTTATATTTTTATTTTGTATTTATATTGTATTTACATTAATCATTTTATATTCAATTAATCATTATATTTAAATTCAATATTAAAAAAAAGAATCTAATTTAATAAAATAGTTTTGGCATTTTTAATAAATAAGCAAGAAAGACTTGAATATAAAAATTAATAAGATAAAGGAAGAATTAAAAAAAAAAAAAAAAAAAATGTAATAGCCCAAAATAAAAATTTGTATATATTGTAGCTTTTATATATTAGATTTAGAATTTTCCATCTTAATCATTAAAAAACTTGTTTTATCCAGATTCATTATTAAAAATAATTAGTTATATACTTATAAAGAATGTTTTTTGGCAATTTTGGACTTTCTTACTCACAAAAACCTGTGTCAAAAGTACTGTTTTTTTTTCTTGACATCATTATTTTAACTACCTTTATTCCTTAGTAATATTTATTGTTTTAAAAAGCTATGAATAGAATTATAATAAAAATTAAACATATGATAAAAATAAATCTATACATTTGTTCTTGAGAATTTACAATAAAATAATAAACACTATTTGTTTATTTGCAAGAATAATTTTATATTTACAACATACTAAAAACTAATAAAATTAAAACTAATGCAATGTAATATTTATCATTTATTAATTTATAAAGAAATAAATATGAAAACAATTTCTTATTCATAAATTTGTAAATATTTACTAAATTATTAAAATATGTTAACTAAGTAAAAAGGAAATCCTTATTAATTAGCATTTTATAAAGTTTAACTTAATTGGCTGATGCTTTACCAACCATTCCAGTAAACAATCTAATAGTGTTTATTATTTTTGATGTCAATTCTAATGAACAAAGAAAATGTATATATGTTTAGGGTGTATTAAAATTCCAATAATTGCTTTTTAAAACAATAAACATTGCCAAGGAGTGGTGTCAAGAGAAAAAACACCCTTTTGACACTTTTTTTTTTTTTTTTGCAGGCATGAAGGTCAAGATTGGCATTTTTGTTTTTTATTTTTATTATTATTATTATATCTAACTAACTTCTTTTATCATATGCTATATTCATAAGCAAATATATTTAAAATTTTCTTTCCAGCTTGCTGCTATGATTCTATCACCCATGGTTCCTTCGCAGCTTTTTCACAAAAATTCAAATCTGGTGGCCTCTTGCGTTTGTTGGATGAGCTTCGTGATCTTCACACTGCAGAGAGCACACTGGGAAAACAAACCAAATTAGAAAAGGCTTGCCATTTGCTGAATGAAATGGCAGCATTAAAACAAGGTGTGCATGACAAATGTGTACGCCTGTGTCGTGTAGCTATGCGAGGTACTGCAGCCGAATTAAAAGAGGCTATGGAACAACTTAATGCTAAGGTATCTTATGTTTTGATTTACTTCATTCTTCCATATTGTTTTGATTATTTGTTTAAAATAAAAACTGTAAATTTTTTTTTCTTTCAAATAGTGAATCTTTTAATATCTGAATATTTTACATTTAAAAAATCTTTTAAAACTTTACTCAAGTAATTTTACAAAAAAAAATTTTTTTTTTTTAAATTTAAATTTTTTTTTTTTTAAAAATTTTTTTAATTTTTAAAAAATTTTTTTTTAATTTTTAAAATTTTTTCTTTTTTAAAATTTTTTTTTTTTTTTTTTTAATTTTTAAAATTTTTTAAAATTTTTTTTTTTTTTTTTTTTTTTTAATTTTTTTTTTTTAAAAAATTTTTTTTTTTTTTTTTAATGATTTGATATGTCTTATTAATTAGCCCATCAACCCTTTGCAGGTCATTTAAATCTAGAAAATATTTTTAAATTGTAAGAAATTTTTTTTTTTTTTTTTTTTTTGATTTGGTGATAAGTCTTATTAATTAGTCCATAGCTGAGGACAGAAGTTAGATTCATACCTTTCCAAAGACTATTTGTAAGTGAATATATCAAACACATCTGGAATTGAAACTCTGCTCTCTGATTGATAATTCGAAGCCATTGTCCATTACACCACCTGGACATCCAATCTCACAGTACCTGGTATTCTTAAGCGGTAACCCATCTAGGTACTGACCAGGTTCTGTGTTGTTTAATTTCAGTGATTGTATAGGAATTGATTGTTTCAATCTGATATGGCTGTAAGCCTTGGAATTGTTCTGTTATCATGGAATGCTTATTTTAGCTGAGAGGCATCATTAGGTCATAGAAAACTGACACTTTGATGACTGAATAATAATGCTGTGAATTAATATGAATAAAAGATTTTGTTGAAGAAATGCTGAATTTTTATTAATTGTTAATTTGTAAAATATTTGCATATATCAAAAATGCTATTTTAAGAAATGTCTTATGAAATTGTTTTAGAGTGGCGTATCTTGCATTTTTTCTCCCATTGGTCTTTTTACATATTCTCTTGCATTAGAATGCAACTCTATTTTGCATTCATTACTAAAAAAAAAAACTTTTTTGCCACTTTACAACATCCAATGTTCTAACATTCTTTTGATCATTTCAATCTTCTATTCTGAGCATACTGCTAAACAATCTTCATAAAATAAAGGTGTATAAGCATTTTATGTAGTTGACCCTACACAAGACACTTGCATGTCAGCATATACTTTATAATAGTCTATTGTTCTGAAATTAAAAAAAAAGCACATTTTGTTTTTAGTTCTTCTTTTATCAACCTAACTCCTGCTTGAGTCAGCTCAGAGCAAAAATGGAGTATTGCTGTCATATCTGGGCTGATGTTGCCCAGTCTTAACTATCCAGCCTTGACACAGTTCAAAAACAATTACATGACCTTGTGGGTGATGAATTATTTCCACTCTGCAACCCTACTAAACTGACAAAACCTTGCTAGCCTCTCAATCTGTTATCGCTATTACTATAGCAAATGTTCAAACAAGCGACATTCTTTAGTTCCACCAGCTTAGACATTAACAGTCAGGGCCTGCCATGCCATATATATGGCATCAAATCATCTCTATGCTCTTTGTATTCCTTTGGTAAGGAGTAAACTCCACTTGGATAACTGGACTTTTTGGAACAGACACCTGACAGGATGCTTCCTTGACCACTAACGTTTTAACCTCTTCAGGTCTAGTGTCAACCAGTATCTATCCTACATATCCTCATAATATGCACTTCTTACTTCATCCTTCTCCCTTCCTTATGCCCTGACAACAATCTTAATAACTCTCTACTTTGACTGGCTCTTGGGTCTTGTATAGGGTGAACTCTAGTAAAAAAGAACAAAAAACTAAGATCATAAAAAAAACATGAAAACAACTTCTGTACAGAATTTGCTTAGAATTTTATCCATGTTCTTTATCATTAATTTTTTTAAATTTTCTGTTGAAAAAAAATTAGGTGAAGGAATTGGTAAAAGTCTGTGACAGTCCAATATTTAATGAAGCCTCAGCTCAGCATATGCGTGCAAGAACTGAAGCTTCCACTTTTGCAATGGGCATGAAACTTACTTCCCAAAATCAATTGACCACAATACCCGTTAACAGCACCACATCAACAGCTGCTGCTGCTGCAGATTCTATTGCATCTTCTTCCACTGCTGCTTCTACTGCTTCTGCTGGACCAAGTACAGCAGATGGAAAAGCTGTTGACAGTAATAATTGGCGTTGGACTGGCAGCAACTTTGTGCGTAGCCCTACCATAGAGCCTTGGGTAAGTATATAGCAATTATGTTATCTTTATTTATCTTTGTTATCTGCTTGTTTGTATGATGATTATGCTTTTCAATCCTGGATCAAAGTGTAGTATCTGCTCAATCACTGACCTTCAGGAATCGGTTATGTTTTCTGACTAAGAAGCCTACATAATAATAATAAGTAGGAAGGAATTGGATGATAAAGAAGGTATGATGGAGGAAAGGTTGCTTTTAAGAAAGCTAGAGGGAAAAAACAGGAACACAAAGTGAAAGGAAAAAGTAAATATATATGGTGAAAGGGAAGAGATAGACAAAAGAAAGACAAGTTTTGCTAGCTGGATATCAAGAGACAATGAGGGAAAGATAGACAAGCAGCTTGGGTGGGAAAGTTTAAAAAGCTGATATATTAAAATTCATTATGGTGAGATAGAGAAAAGGTGAGGGTGCAGTAGAAAATATTTATAAATTCCTTATTTTGTTTTCAATATGAAGCTAATCCATGTTTGCATAACATTTTAGATAAAAACATGAATGGGGAAACAGATTGGAAGGGATAAGGCAGAGAATGAGAAGATACAGGCCAAGGATGAGAAAAGAGCAGAGGCATGAGATAATGGATCATGTTATTTATCAACCTTCTGTGGAATCTCAGCAGTGTATATTTTTTTTAACTTTGTTGCCATATTTATCACAACATTTCGGCTGTTGTATGCTCCAGCCTTCTTCAGGTGGTTGGAATGTCGAACTGAACCCTTTATTTTGCTGCCCAAGCAAAATAAAGGGTTCAGTTCGACATTCCAAGTTATCCACTGCCTTAACCAGGTATTGAACTCACACTCTTTGGATCCTGTCAAGGGATCTAACTAAAACCTTTATCCACTGTGCTGTGTGTCCTTGAGGATATGAATTTCTGGGCATTATAAACCTAATGTCTTCAGCAATCATTTTTTCTAGTGCTCATATTGCAATTTTTGCTGTTATCATTCCTTTTTTTTTTTTTTTTTTTTACTAGAACTCATATTGCAATTTTTGTTATCATTTTTCTTTGGCACTCCTTATTACTGATTTCCATATTGTATTCATTTCTATGCTTGGTTGGCTCAGGAGATTTTTGTGGCTTAGCATATGTGCTGATTCCTTAAGTTTATGAATTTTCCAATGATGTTCTTTATCTATGATTTCAACCTGATCCCACAGAGGGTGGTGATCTCACTTTTCTCTCCATATGCGGTCAGCCACGCCTGATTTTTTTTCCACTTCCCCTAGTGTTACAGCTTTCTGGTGTTCTTGAAGTCTTACCTTAAGGGAGTGGCCTGTCTCCCCTTTATATTTCCTTCCACAGCTGCACGGGATGGCATACACAGTCTTTAGTCATGTTCTCCTCTATGGTGCAGGGGGGTCTTATTCGGGAGAGATATCTGCGAAGTGTCATCCAGCTTTTGAAGGTTGTCCTGATGTTATATGGACCGTAGATCCTTTGTATTTTCTCTGATAACCCCTTCACATAAGGCAGGCAGAATGAGTGTTGTTGTCTTCCTCTTGTTGTACCCGCCTATTCCAGTTTATTGGGGCTGTTGCCATATACCCAGGGTAGTTGTTACATTGTAGGGTACTACTTATACTGACTGATTCTTTATCTAATGTCTCTGAGTCTCCACTTATGACTTTTGCTTGGTGTTGTAAGCAGCAGACGATCCCTTTCTTCATGCTGTGTGGATGGTGGGAGTTGAAATTGAGATACTGCCTGGTAAATGTCGGTTTACGGTATACGGATGTCTTGAACCCATGCTTTGTTCGAGATATTAGAACATCCAGGAATGAGTGTGTTGTTACTCTTTTTCTCCATTGTGAACTGTATTGACTGTCTTATTGAGTTCACATAGTCCATTGAACCTCTTCCTGGTGTGGCCAGAGTATGAAAGCATCATCTACATACCTTAACCATAGAGTAGGCTTTAGAGATATAGATTGTAATGCCATTTCCTCAAAGTATTCCATGTATATATTTGCTATTGCTGATGATATTGGCGAGCCCATTGCTAAGCCCTCATCCTGTCGATATATGTGTGACCCCATTCCAAAGTATGTTTGTGTACAGAAAGCTAACATCTCCATCAGATTATCTATTGGAATACTGGTCCATTCTTCTAGGGATGAGTCAAAGGCCAATCTCTATGACTACTGAGAGTGCCTCCTCCGTTGGTACCTTGAACAAACTCACCACATCCAAGCTCACCATCTGGTTGGATAGGATGGGGGCATCTTTGATTATTTCCATGAAGTGGTGGAGTTTTGGACATATGAAGGTGACTTTCTGATCAATGGGTCAGTTATATTTACAAGGAAGCCACTCAGAGGGTAGCACACAGCGAGCAAAATAAAGGGTTCAGTTCAACATTCAATCCACCTGAAGAAGGCTGGAGCATACAACAGCTGAAACGTGATAAATATGACAACAAAGATGAGGACAATAGTCTGAAGGTCAATAGTGTACATAACACCTCGTCTCAGAAATATAGAAAGATATTGTAAATGGCACATTATAACAAAATATCACATGGTAATAATTAAACAATTTTCTAGTCACTCCTTTATAATAACTAGTTGTTTATGTAATCAATGATATTGTGGGTATGTTTTATTCTTTAATGACTGGGTTAGCATTGTAAAATTTAACATATATATTTTGGAGACTTTAAAAATACTTAGCTGAAAATAGTAATAGTAATGGTGAAATTAGATGTTTCTTTATAAGGAAACCTTCATTAACTGAACAGTTAGCATTACAGTCAGTTGAAATTTAAAAAAAAAAATAATTTCAAAATAATTTTTTTAGGAAATTGGACTTCTCAAATCCAGTTATTGCTTTTTCTAGTTTTGATGGGAGTTTCTTTCCAAACCTTTTGCTTAAGATAGTGTGGAAAGTCAACATCTTGTTTATATCATTATTTTCCATTCCAGTTACATTTGTTACACATTTAAATGTCATTGCTATTGGAAATCTTCAAGTGATGTAAATTTTGTTATTTTTGTTTGTCGTTTTGTGGCACCAGTCCATGGGGGTCTAGTCTAATGAATGTCTTTAAGTCTATTTTTATAAATTCATTTTACTTGGATAGATTTTTGACTTTTTTTTTTTTTTTTTTTCTAAAATTGTAACTGATGTTAAATAAATAATATTTGATTGCTATTTCATTTTTGAACAATTTTATTATTTTGTGCTCTGTTTTAGGATATGTCCTGTGTAAATACAGAGGCTGCTGCCATGTGTCTGATGTCACTTGTGGAGGATCTCATCCAGAATAAGAATAATCCAATGGATATTCCAAAATGGCTCAGTGAGATTAGCCCCAGGGTTATTGAATTACAAAAATTCATTGAGATTCTTTTCAAGAGGGCGAATCTCTCAATGACTTTCTTACTGCTGTTGGTAAGTAAAAACATTAATATCTCTTTCTCACTCTGTCTAATATTTATTTTTCCTGTTCTCATATTGTAGTTTTGACTTAAAATACTTTTGATAGAATTTATAGTTTTATAAAGATAATTAAAAAAAACTTATATAATTTTAATTATAAGAAATATATAAAACCTAATGACAAACCACTCTGTATTCACACATCTTCCAATCCCCTGTCATCAATAATCAAGTAGATCCCACAATCAGTTAACTGCAGGTTATCTGAAAATTCTTCCAATCGAACTATCTTCAATGAAGCCAAGAAAGATTATGAAAAAGTCTTAAAAGATAGTGGATTTTCGACAACACTCACATACCCATACAGCACAAAAAAGCTAACAGGGAAAGAAACATCATATGGTTGTACAACAAAAATGCAAAAACAAATGTAGGAAAAATATTCATTAAACTCGTACACAAGCTCTTTCCCCCCTATTAATCACTCTCCATAAGACATTCAACAAAAACAATAAAAATTAGCTACAGTTGAACTGAGAACATGACACAAATAATAAAAAAACACAAGAAGAAAACAACCAACAGACCACCTGCACAATTCAAACCCATGTGTAACTTCAGAGCAAAGAATGAATGCCCCTTAAATGGAAATTGCTTACAGAATAATTTTTTATATAAGCCACTGTAAAAATCAGCAGATAACAAAGAAAAAAATATATATAAGTGTAACTGAAGGTCCCAGGAAGCAAAGGAACTATGCACACAAAACACCCATCACAAATAGTAAATATGTGAACATAGTGAAAATGGTTTCTATGTATGGGGAAATTAAAACCAAATCACAGCAAAAATATCATGGGAAATAAGGGAAACAGCATCAGCCTATGATAATTATTCCAAAAACTTAAACTCTGGAGGGGAAAATAGCTATAATTACCTTTCCAAACCAAAACAAATTACTAAATGATCAGAACTCCTCTCAAAATGCATACACAAAACAATTTTTTATTATGCTACTTAAAAATTGGAAACTAAAAACGAACAAGAAAATAAAATAAGATAAAATAAAAACAAATAAGTATCATAAATTAATCCAAATCAATAAGTAAATAAATTAATAAACAAATCAACTGTGAATACATGCATAAACACAAGTAAATGTAATAATAGCAATCAACAACAAATAAAGTAATCAATAATAAAGTTAACAACACTATAAAATAATCACAAAACTGTATTCAGATCCACAATTATTTTCACTCAGTAACCCCTAGAAGAATTTGAAACAACTGTTACCACCCACTCAATAACCGTTAGAATAATACAATGGACCTAATGCATTACTGGCCAACATATAAATAGTCAAGCTAAAACACAATGCACATAGCACAATGATTGTGTTTAAGCATGAAACACTGTTGCTGCTAGGTGTTGACCTCAATATTCTCTTCTATATTTACATATACTCTATCCCTGATTTGGAGAACTTTAACTCATAAATATACCATACATTAAAACATATAATATATATATATATATATATATATATATATATATATATATATATATATATATATATACACACACACACACACACACACACAGAGTAGTGAATTTAATGATCCTTACTAGTTACTATCACACTTGTGGGTTTTACAATACTAACCAATGCTTAGCAAATATCAATATAACATATCCTTGTTTTTCTTTTTATTTATATTGTCATAAAATGTTTTCATCCAATCTGTTTCTTTTTATTATTATAGGAAAATCGTGAGCACATGCATATGCTCCAGACAATTAAATACAGACGAGACATTGCTTTTTGCCATGCAGTAAGTACCATGTTCTCTTTGCTGTTGACTGTATTTTCTCACTTTTGTTTATTGAATTAGCACAGGTGAGTAAGTATTGCATGAATAGATTTGCATCTGCATATAAGCATCTTTGCTAAAGTCAATAAAGATTAAATATGGCTGCATCAATGATTTCCTGGCTTCTGTGCTTCTTAAATATTGCATACATTTGATCACTGGAATTGAGCAGTGTCAAACCCAGTCAGTACATAGATGGAGGAATATTTGGGAACGCTGGGTTGTATGAATCAACCTCTTGCAATCTGTTTTGATTTTAAATGACCCACAAAGTGTTGATAAATCATAAAAAATAAATCAATCCATTTTAAATATTTCTGTACTAGTTAGTCATTCTAAGTAACACTTCTCTTCTGGATATAGACAATCATGGCTCGCCACAACTTCTTTGTCTTTAATATCCATAAACTGTATATTACCATGATTGTTATTGGGAAAGATAATGGTGAACAACAATCAAACAAAAACAATAAAATTCTTTGCATTTTTAATATTTGCCACCATATTTCTAAAAATGTAACAGCTCTTGTGAGTGAGCCAGTTCTGTGATGCAAATGCAAGGAGATTTATCAAGATAAGGTCTTTGCAAAGGAAAGAAAAGTAACTAATTCCAACATTGTAAATAGTGGGATGCACTTCTCACCAAAAATCAGTGATGAATGTGATCACAATTGCTTTTTAAAAGAATAAACATTGCTGAGAAGTGAAGGTAGTTAAAATAAGTGGTGTCAAGGGAAAAACTGTTCTTTTGACTTTTCTTTTTTTTTTTTTTTTTTTTTTTTTGTACATGAAGGTCCATATTTGCCACAGGTAAACATGTTGGAAATTTGTGACAGTAACCTGAATATTGTTTGAAGTAGAGAAAAGTTTTATTTATTCTCAAATAATTTGTCTGAGTTTTCTTCTTACAAAATCAACCATTCTAAGTGTTATAGTTTAAAAAAAAAGGAATGAAATAAAATTGAAAACATTTAATGTATAAGCATTAAATGTTTTCGGTTATATTTCATTTTTTTTATAGAGTGAAATTTAATGAAGGTTTTCAGATGATGATTTCTTATATTCAGTCTCTAAATCAGTTTCAGATACACTGACTTATTTTCATCAGTTTTAGAGTCTAATTTCTTAATGTCTCTGCTTTTTGGTGAATAAAAAGTCTTTAATTGGAGAGAAATGAATAATTTCAGTTTGTATGAATCATGTAAATCATCCACTGTTTCATGTTTTAATGGAGATTGTTCTGATGACTTAATAAGATTCATCACAAAACCCCCATTTTTAACAAGGAGTGAATCACATCCATTCACTCAAGGAGATTTGATATCTGTTGACCACATCAAGTTAATTCTTTTTTCCACAAAATTATTTTCAGTCTTCACTGTAAAGGTCTCATTATAAATTTTGAATTTCAATAATAATCACTTATTGTTCATCTCTTCTGACAGAGACATTTTGAAGAGGAGTAGAAAATAGAGAAACACGTTCTTTAATTATATCATGGTTAGAATTTTGAAAATTATTCTTTATCGTTCCATAAATTATAGTCTGTTATTTTATGATTTTTTTTCTGAAATTATTCTGATGTCATTATAAGGTGATATGGTTCAGTTTGTAGCAATTCACATGCTTTTTTTTTGTACTGTCATTTCCATGTAACTGAAATGTTATAAAATTCAACATTTTTAATTTCTTTGCAATAGCTGTTATTTTGGAGAGTCTGGAAGAGATAGTTTCTTGTGCATTTGCAATGCTGATAGTTGTATTTTGAAGAGTTCTTGATAGTTTTGAAAGGATAAACAAGACCATAAGTAATTTCATAATTAAAAAATTCTGTAACTTTTTTAAAATGCCTGAAGCTAAAGCATTGAGATTCACTGGTCATTTAAATTTAATTATTAGTTATTTTTTTCTTGAAGAAATTTGTCCTCTTTCTTAATGCTCTTGTAATATGATTGACTCCATAACTCTTGGTAGGACTTAAAAGTATGCCAGCTCTATCTTCAACAGTGTGAGAAAGACCTCTCTAAAAGTGGCCACCTTTTGGGTGGATACTTGAAAACTTGGGTATAAACCAGACCCAGATCTACTTTATCTAGAGTTTAAACTGGACCTATGTCTACCTTTTTTTTTTTTATATATATATATATATATATATATATATATATATATATATATATATATATATATAGTGATTTTTATCCTACAAGACTTGTTTCACATTAAAATCTAATAATGACTGATATATTGTTAAACTAGCAGCATGGCTCGGCGTTGCCCATGCTTGATTCAAAAATCGTACGACTCATACAGCAATCGCTATCACTTGACTTAAAATATTTTTTGCCTTTCCTTGCCTTTTAAAGGAGTGCCCTTTGCCGTGATGATGTTGCTATATGCCTTACTTCTTGCCTATCTCACACTGCTAATTTTTTTCTAAGCTCTATACTAAACATTAAATCTGTTACGAAAAAAGAACTAAAGAAAATGAACACAAAATGATCAGCTTTAAAAAAGGACTCGTAACTGGGAAAAACGAATGAAAAAAGAATGTTAACAACAAATATTTTTTCACACTCAACCCAGTTCTGTGGAATCAGAATCAACATTGAGTTTAAGCAAAGGAATGAGCCAATTGGAGTAAAGTGCCAAGCAGATTTAAATTTTTCCCACTTGTGACGAATGCAGCTATCGATTTTTTTTTTTTTTTTTTTTGCATGCTAGCATGGTAGTTAACATTCATGTCAGCTGTTGACTCTCACGCTGGCCAATAGAATCTTCCTGCCTATTTGTGGCAGCCAGCTATAGGCTCTCACTCTGGCCAGTGGAAAATGGCTGCAAACTACATGAAAACTGTGGTAGAAGCATGAAAAAATCGATTATTTCCACTATCGATGGGAGTTGGGAAATGCAAAGTCAGTCTTGGCCTTCCTGCTAACTTGGAGCATGTGCATGTAAATTTTGGTGCAAATCCATTGAAAATTGCGGCTGTGCATTTGTTAAACACACACACACACACACATCCTGCTTTTTATAGATAGAAATTAACTAGCCTAATGTAACAAACAAGTTCACTAGTACATTTGCAGGACCAATAAGTAAGCAATACTAATAAGATGAAAATAATCAAAAATTTATAGGTAAATGTTTCATGTAAGAAATTTGGAACAACTTAAAGGCAAGAACTGAATTTTTCTTTCATTGTCTATTGGTGATTAAATTTTTCACTGCTTGCCTTAGCCTTTATCAGTAATTTAATCTTTTTGGTTATATTTTTATCATCTTTTGGCATGATTTTTCTTTTGGTGGGGATTGATAGTGGAGTCATTTCCTGTTGCCTTCTCCACAGTGATTTTATTGAGACACCAATTCTAGTTAGCTGGTCATTGACTCATCAAGAATTCTGTTACCCTTTGACAGGTCTTACTTTTTATCCTACAGAATTTCTAACCACCCTCCTCACACGCAACAAAGTAAGGTTGATGAGCTGGTTTAGTCACTGACCATCCAACAAAGAAAAAAAGTTTTAATTTAGTTTAAACTTTTTTTTTTTTTTTTTTTTTTTTAAAGAGTTTTAAAAAAATGTTTTTCTTACCTTGACCATTGAGTGAACAATGTGGGGTTCGGGAAAGAACCCACTAATTCATTTTAGTTAAAAAGTGATGCTGGCAAATTCAAATGGCAAATACAAACATTTCATTTTTATAATTTGCATACCACTGTAAAAAAGATTTAATTCTAACAAACTTACATTGAATATTTTAAGTTATTCGGTTTGTTTTGCTCCTATTTCAGGTGACTGTAGCTACGGCAGGTTTTGTAGCCAAAATTTATGACAATCTGGAAAATGAACAGTTTTTAAAGCAGCTGTGTGAAGTTGGCATTTTGCTACACTTTGAAGGGTTGTTGAGTTGTTATACAGAGGAAATGGGAATGATAGAAGATATGTCAATTGCCGTTGAGGACCTAAGCAATATCAAATTTAAGTTGATATGCAAAAATGATGTTCAGGACTTGAAACCGTCCCTGGAATTGACAGAGTAAGTAGTTTGACTGGATTCCTTTCTTTGCATTTTACAAAAGGGCATATCAGTGAATTCATTGTTTTTGTTGCACAGTAAAGGATTTAAACAAGACTGGCAAAATGATTTTTATTTGCTAATGAGAATTATATTGTAGTTGACAGCTAATTATTTTGATTCTTGATTTCAGAATTAAACATTTGAAGATACAGATTATGCACTAATTACTTCACGCATACACACGAGGCCTGATCCACTTCACAAAATCTGTTCAAATAATCCATTAGAAACTATTCTTGAGTGGACTGACAACTTTTCAGCTCTTTTTTAAATTTTTGGACAGAAATAAACATTTATAAATTTTTTCTTTTTAAGCAATAAAGTAAATATGTAAAGTGGTAGTAAAAAGCTTTTGAATGATACCTGAGTTTGTGGTGGGATGAGGAGTTATACATTTTTTTTTTTTTTTTTTTTAACTAATGTTCTCTCAATACAAGGACCAAGAGCCAGACAAGGTAGAGGATTACTGAATGTATATAAGAGGAGGGATTTGGATGTTTGAGATTATCGATGATAGATAATATTGACCCTTGACTTGAAGAGGTCAAGATTGTAGTGTTCAGGGATTAAAGCATTAGTTTTTGAATTTGGTAGTCTAGTGATTGTGAGTTCAATCCTTACGCTTGGTAGTAAGTGGAAGCAGGATGAGCAATAAAGAATAAAAGGAACAAGATGAAATATCCCGAGACATGGACACCAGAATGGATACAATCTACCCCCATAGATTAAATAAAGGGTTCATTTCAGTTCAAAATACTTTGAAGATTACCCAGATTGATAGATATCTGAAGGAGACTGGAGAATGCAACAGCTGAAACGTGATGACAACAAAGATGAGGGCAGTAATTCAAATGTAAATAATAATACCTAACCGAGTTGGAATTTTTGATTGTGAAACCATGGATAGAATACTTGAAGTACTTCCTAACCTCAATGGAAATTTGATACTGCACCGTGTTCTAGCAGGACAGCATCCTTGTACATGCCTTTAGGGAAGTCAAGAAGTAGCTGGAGACCATAATGCCCCAGTCCTAGATTAACCTGGACTTGAACCCTGTTGGGAATATATTGTTCATTATCAAATGTAGAGTTGTTGAGCAATACTGCTGTAGTATGAAAAAAAAAAAACTGAAGAAGATTGAAAATTTAGGTCATCAAAATTACTAGTGAACTGTTGGAACATGGCAGCCTCCTTGCCTTGTTGAAATGATGAAGAACTGTGGCTACACTACTAAATGCTGAATAATTTCAGTAAGTTTTAAATGTAAAATATTTAATATTTCTGTTACATAGTTTCATTCTCTTTACTCATGGTTAATTGTGGTAACTTTAGTATGCCAAAGCTTTTTTCTGCAACTGTTTATTAAAAAAAATATACCGTTTATAGGATTTAATCTTTATTCTAAATGATGTGCGTTTCTACTGTAGAGTGCTTTTTTTTAAAAATTTATATTGGGCTTATTACAAAATTATTTTTACTGGAATATGTTTTCTTTATATTGCTTGTAAATCATCTTTATAATATAGTTTTTATGACTGACATAAACAATTGCTGTGAAAATGCATGAAAATTTTAATTGTGACTGGCCATTGTTCACTGGCAAGTTATTTATAAATTATATTAATACTTTGCTATTAAATATGGCATTGAGCTCTTTTTTTCAGTATGCCTTGGTAGCATATATGAGGAGTTGCTGAAAGGTTCTTGCAAGAAATTCCAATGTTTGGTTAGTTGGAATGGAATCAGGTGGAGAACTTTTCAGCAGTCCTCATATATCTGAAATGGAATGATATCAAATAATCTGAAATCTTTGGCTGTGTTGTTATGTAGGTGAATTCTGTTGATAGTGTTGGGGTTTTATTTCTAAAATTTCAATAGGTTATTGGCCCAAATTTGCCTGTTATTATTTGACAGTGATGTTAACTTGAGAGGTTCTTGTCACTATATTTTTAACACAGCCATTCATTATGCTTATGAACACAACTGACTGCAAATGACCAAACTCTTGATTGAGCACTAAAGTGAAAAGCCATGATTAACCCGAAACATACTTGATAGATCCCATCTATGTTTTAACACTTTGTAATTAATGAATACTTACATGTATCTTGTTTTTTTGTTAATATCTGTTGGTGTAAATGTTAAATTGTTACATGCTCATACATTCTCAACTTTCTATTCAACTGTGAAAATACAGATATCAAATAATAAAAAAAAACTATTTTGAAGAAGATATTTTTTTTTTTTAAATTCTCCTCTGAAAATATTATTTTCAGTGGAAAATAAATTGTTTATTGTAGCTTCCAACAAGGCAGAATGCCTTTGTTAATTCTGTTTTTCTAAGTGACAAATACATTGAAAGTTTTGGAATATTGTAAAAGTTGTGCCAGATTTCAGACCTTGAGAAAGAATGCTTCATGTTTACAGGGTGGAACCTATTTTATATTGTTGGTATGGTTCCAAAATTTGAATGGTTCTCTGAAATTGGTTTCATTTTATAAAAGAATTTTATGTATCTTAATGGCAGACTTTGTGTTTTTTAAACTAGAAAAACTTTTTACAATTATGTACAGTTAGGTGCAAATTTTTTACATTCTATATATTTTTCAATAAAAAGTTAATATTGAAAACACAGATAACAAAGCAAAAAATGATTGAGTTTAATTAAAAATGACATCCACTGTATTTGTTAAAGTAATAATTGATAATGCTGGTTGTTGTCATTGTGATGGTGGTGGCAAGGTCAGTTACTCAATCTCTTTGTTCTTTCATCCTGCCCTTGTGACTTGTTGTTGGAGTTACACCCATTTGTTTTTATCTTGATGCAATTGATAAAAGATTAAGAGTGTCTGCATACTTTGTCCCACTCTACAGTAGTCTTCTTGTCTGTCAATCAGTGGATCCAGACATACCATATATACCTGAGTATAGTGCAAATTTTTATGAGTTTTTTATGCAAAAAAAAAAAAAAAAAAAGTGGTCACACTATACACAGGTAATTTTTTTTTTTTTTTTTTTTTTTGAAAAGGTTAAGAATCAGGCATTTTTGGTGAATGGTTACACAGGTAAATTTTTCTGGAGGGATTAAAATTCATGCAAAAAAAAATTTCTGGCTTGCACTTTACATGAAGTCAGCTTATACATGAGTATAAGCAGCATATCTAAGAAATAACAAATGCAATATGGACCTGAAGGAATACCAGATAATGTTTCACCTGAAACAGGGTTGGTGCAGTCAAACTGATTGTTGCTTTAATAATAATACGGCAATACCGACCATCAAACAGGACTTTTAGCAAAGATATGCTATGGAAGTTTATTTAGAAGAATACTTTCACTTCACATCTTTACAGAAGTGGGCGGGGATGAATTCTGGGTAATAAAATATCACACCTGTTTCAATATGTACTTAATTCTTTTAAAATCCCTTGTGATACACATGTTCATTATAGTGACTCTGTAGATAAAAATATTGATTTTTTTTTTTTTTTTTTTTTTTTTTAGTATTTTTATCTGTCTTGTTTGCTATCTGGGGAAAATTAGATACACCATTTATAAATGCAATTTTGCTCTCTTTAAATTATAAATAAAACTGGGCTTTTGTGTTTGATATTTAATGACAAACTGAGAGTGCGTTATCTGCAAAGTACATTTTTTAAAGAATAATAGTTCTCCTAGTTAAAGAATTTTTAAGAATTTGAATGCTGGTGTACCTGATTTTTTTGATACTGAATAAATAATGACTGATGTAAAGTTGTTGTTTTTTTTTTTTTTTTTTTTTTTTTTTTTTTTTAATGTATAATACAAACAGAATTATTTGATTGAAATGAGCCAAGTAATTTCATAATCTTTCTCTTTTCTAGTTTTGTTAAAGAAGGACGATATCCTGATATGAATAGGTAAGCAAACATTTTAAAAATCTTGTCACTTTGTTTCAGTTAGTATTCAACCATTGTTTTAGAGACATGTAATGTTATCAGAAAAAGTTAATTTATTAGACATATTTTGAGGAAAAGAAGGCTTGGAAAATTTAACACTCACAGGACATATACAGGAAGGGAGGCACAGGAAAACAGTAACCTATCTAAAGAGATAGAAAGTTGTGGAGAGCCATGATTACCCATGTCCTGAAGGGACATGGAACATAAAAGAAGAAAAAGAATGCTGTGTAGATCTGACATGAGTGAAATGTGTTTGCATATGTAAAAGTCAAAGCAAGATGAGGTAATTTTTTAAAGAATACCTTAAAGAGTATTTATTTCAAGATTCTATGAATTATCCAGGCCTTCCTTTTTGAAGGCGACTCAATTGTACTGATAAGTTTCTTGTGACAATTTTATATAATTCATGCAGCATCCAAAATAAATTTGTTCTCATTTTGATTTTAATTTTGATTTTATTTCCTTATGTCCCCTCAAAATATTGATGATTTCTATTTTCCTGGAATTTTAACTGATATCATTTATTATTAATTAACAGTAGTAGTGGGAGTGACATTCACATGATCGGATTAGGAATTCAGGTGATAGTCATTATTTATTTGTGAGATAACTCTTGACTTTTGCTTGTTGATATTGTTTGGCTTGCATTCAATTGTTAAATAATAATCTAGAAGACTATTATTTCTATTTACTTATTTATTTATTTATTTATTTTTTTTTCAAAAATTGTATTTCTCTCTGACTTCCTCATTTTGACCTTAAGGTCAGATGGTTGACAAAACCAAGGAAGTTCTTTTTGATTGGTTAAAACTAGCATGAGAAGGTTAGAGAGATAGTTATTTTAGGGAGTAAGTTTTTTACACATCGAAGAGATCAGATATGGTTATTTAGTGTCCTGGGGAACTTGCTCTCCAGTGGGGGTGATGGATTTGATCCCACTGTATAGTTATAAATGTACATGTCAACGTGTTTAATAATAAAGTAGTAAGTCAAAATCTCATTTGTTGAAGTTCTCATTTTATCTCCGAACCAAAGACTAGTGATCACTGACCGGAAGATGACAGAAAGAAGAAAGCAACATATAAGTGGATCAAGACCATCGCACCAAGATTATACCCAGAAGTGAAGGGCCTATACAACACAATGGCAGTTAATTAATAAGAAAATGATTGATAGATTGATAACAAAAGGAAATGAAATTTTGCTATTTTGATTCATTAAATTCCACTCAAATTTTATTATTTTAATAATTAGATGTATAGTGTACAAATTACTTTAAAATTAAGAAACTTACTAAAACATTAATGAAATTGATAAGTAACCTTTTCCAAAATTGTAATTATTTCTTTTCCTTTGGAGCACTCAACAGAAGTTTTGAGTGTATCATTTAAAATTCTGTCCTTTTTTTTGTGGTTTGAATTTCTTTGTGTAATGTACAACAAATTGATTAGAATAAGTGTTTCTGCCTACTTGGTTGAAGATGATCTCAAAAAACCTGTCTTTTTATAGATTTGTGATTCTTTGTAGATTTTGTGAGATATACTCTCATGCATTCCCTGGTAAGAGACTTTTTGAAACATTTTTCAATTATTGTCTCTATAAACAATTGTCTTTAGTATAGTGATAGTCACTAAGATCTGTATCCATCCAAATCAAAAGAAATCATTGTTTAATTGTACCCTATTCTCTACATATATCTTCCAACTGTCCACTCTCTTCTGAAAGATTTCAAGAGCTAGGTGGTTGGCTTCTTCCCTACCTTGCATTTTAAAAGCAATATATAGTCATCTATTTCTGGGCTTTATTTTAAGGGACCAGATCACCAGCCTTAAAAATGCTTCAACCAGTTTGGTACTGTATAGTCAGATGTTTCATTTCTTTTTACTTCCTGAATTCTTTAGTCTTCTTGAAGACCCAGTTTAAAATAATGCCTCAAAATTGTCAGGATTTCAATAATTACACTTGTCATTATGACATAGGTAGTGTTGATTTTTTTTTTTTTTTTTTTTTTGTACAATAATGTTCACCCAATAGCCACTCAAGGTAGAGAGTTACAAAGTAAAAGGTAAGAGTAGGTACCTCCACGAAATTGCTAAAAAAAGAGCATAGCTTGATGAAAAAGACGCCAACCTTGCCGAAAACAAAATTTTATTGTCTAAATGCTTATGTTATTATTTAGAGGAAAGACCAAAGTTTTTTTAATTATTTTTAAAAAATTTTCCTTCTTTTTAGAAAATTCTAAATTTTGATTAAAAAAAACCTTGTTTCTATTTGTATCAGCAGAACTAGTAAATAACATAGACAATTTTTAGCACGTTTTTTTGGTATGACACACATTAATTTGAAAAATCGTGCAAAAATAGAAATAATTATCGGATGTTAATGAAACTTTCAGGAACTATTCACAGATGATCGAAATTATTATAAATATGTTTTTTTTTATGAAAGTCATGGTAGAAATATTTTTTAAAATATTTATTACCCCCACCATAACTAATTTTATGAAAACGCTAGAAATTCGATCGCATCGGTTTTAGTGATTACAATAATTAAAAGCACAGGGCTTTGAGGAATGCAAATCATGTTTTTTTTTTGTTTTAATTGGATACGCAGTACCTGAAAATCAGCTCTGAATTGTAACATACAAAACTCAATAAAACAAAGATATTATTTAATTTCAAATGCTTTTATTTGCTTTTAGTTGTTTTTATGAATATGGACAATATTTTCTGAAAGCAAAAAAAATTTTTCGATGAAAAATGAATTTTTAATACAATTATTTGTTATTTCATTAATTATAATAGATTTTACATTTAAGTTGTTAAAATATTATAAAATTAGTTAAAAGTCAAGACAGGCTTTCATAAGTGTCCTTATGAGATAGATCTTTTTTTTAGCGGCGTTGTAAATTGTATCATTTTGACTAATCAGAAGATCCCCAGTAATTAAGAAATGTAATTTTGTGCTTATAATCGAGCTGTAATTATAAAATACAGAAGACCAACCAGAATATAATTAAGTTGCGTTATTTGAGTTAAGCATTGTTCTCCGCTGTTAAGGCCATTACTTTTATGAAAACACGTGTGGAGAAGTTAATTTGATTTTTCAATTTCAACTGAGAAGGTTACCTACAAGTATCAGTATCATCTTATGAAATTTATATGATCTTATTTTTATATTAATCTCAGTTACGACATTTTTCCATAAATGAAATATCAAAATTAATAATAAAATGAATGCAAATACAAATAACAGTAGAATGTAATAAATGTACATAAAATTATAGTATTTTATGTACAATTCTGATAAAATTTCATAAGAAAGGTACCTATAAATTAATTAGATACCTTTCTTAAGAAATATGAAATTTAATCTCACTCTTAACAGTTTTATTTTAATTTCTTTAGAATATATTTCCCATAAAGCATCATAAACGTAAAGGTGAAAGCTAAGTACAAAAAAAAAAAATTAGACCGCTGAAAGTTTTCAAAATAAAATAATTTACATTTACGTGAACAAATTATTTACCCTGATTTTCAAATGAAAATAACGGGTAAAATTTTTACGTTATTTTCAACGAAAATAACGGGTAAATAATTTGTTCACGTAAATGTAAATTATTTCACTTTTCTCCTTTCAGAGAACAAATTAGCCTCATGGAATTCGTAAATATATCATTCATCACATGTCAAGAGACGCGAAAGTTTATGACCTGCTTTGTTTTATTTTCAAATTACATCTTTTTGGCACAAAAGCTAAGTTAAGTTTGGTTCAAAATATTTTAAATAAACATTATAATTTCTGATTTTCTTAAAATAAGTTTTGAAAAATGATAATTGATATTTAAAAAATTTCAAAGTCAGATTTCCAGTTTTTTTAAAATGGAAAAAATGGTCAATTTTGCTGACTCAAAAAAAAACTAGATTTTTAACGAAAATTTCGGACGTGCTAGAATGATTAAAAATGGAAAAAATACCCCAAAAAATACTTTGACCTTTCCTCTTAATGAATAACAAATATTTAGACGATAAAATTTTGTTTTCGTCAAGTTTGGCGTCTTTTCATCATGCTATGCTCTTTTTTTAGCGATCTCGTGGAGGTACCTACGTAAGAGGTACAGCTTATCAGGATATGTGAGAAGATAATATCAATAATGATGGGATATAGACACAAGGAGGTGGTGAAAGTTCTTGGCCTGACCAATCAGTTTCCCAAAATCTGATCAAATGATTCCATATTTTTTTTTTTTTTTTTTTTTTTTTTTTACTTTTGTAAGAAGAGCTTGTTCGTTGGGCTGAAGACATTTCAGCATTCCCTATTAGTAATAGTGGCATCATAGAGTCTTTAGATGTGTACATGTGATAAGCAGGATTGGGGTTTTTCCCCTATCCGCATACCAACATTGGCAAAGAAAGACACCAACTTATCCAAGAAGTCCGTGCACACATAGAAGAAGTGCGTTACTGTAAAATGGTTGGTCTAAGTCAGCAGGGAGACTGGACAAAATGGGAGAATGTAGAAAAGAAAAGAATTACATGGTCAGATTGCTGGTGTTCGGATTTTAGCAAGATTTGATTTCTCATCAAATTGGTATATGATATCCTACCAAGCCCAACAAACCTGCATATATATATATGGGAAGAGCGAGACCCTCAATTGCCAACTATGTGCAAGGAAAGGATCCTTACAACACATCCTTAGTAGTTGCCCAAAAGCTTTGGGTGATGGTCGGTACCGTTGGCGTCACGACCAAGCACTCAAAGCAATTGTGAACAAGGTGACTAAAGCTATAAGGGCTAGTAAGCATCAACCAGGGAAGAAATTGAATCAGATTAACTTTGTAAAAGCTGGAGAGAAGATACAGAGGAGAGAGAGAACAAGTCTGTTATCTTCCGCAGGAGATTGGCAGTTGATAGTGGACTTAGAGTCCCAGCTGAAGTTCCCCAGACACATAACTGTAACATCGCTAAGACCGGATCTGATATTGCACTCCGACAACACAAAGCAGTGCATTATTTGGGAACTGTCGGTGTCATGGGAGGAATATATTACACTAGCTAATGAGAGAAAGAGGTCCAAATACCAAGAACTGGTTGAACAATGTTGGCAGAAGTCATGGAAGATATACTATGACCCCATAGAAGTTGGTTGCAAGGGCTTTGCTGGACAGTCATTGTGCAGAGCCCTAGCAAAAATAGGCATAGTGGGGGCAGTTAGGGCGAGAGCACTGAAGAACATTACCAACGCAGTTCTAAATGGATCAAAATGGATTTGGCTTAAGAGATCAGAGCCATGGAAAAAATAATGAGGACATTAAGGGAAATCTCAGAATCATAATTAGGAGACATCTTACACATTATAAGGGAATATTGAGACAATATATTAAGTTAGGGTAGTCGAACTCTTATGGATAGGAGTTGAGAATCGTTGGCGTATGTGGAGGGGGGCATGGATAGGAGTTTTTTTTTTTTTTTTTTTTTTTTTCCTTTGCTTTTCGGTTACTGATTGCCATTATTTTATTTTTTTTTGTTAGCGCTTACTCGCAGTTTTATTTCAATATTAAAGCTTAATTGCATATTTATTATGAATGGAATGGGGAGAAAGATATAGTTTTGTAGTAATAATAGTCTGGAAATTTAGGGAGTTGATGTTAGTACCAATTGGGCAGATTTATTTTAAGAAATATGTATCAGATTGTAAATATGTGTATAGGTTACTTGATTGAGTAGATAGCATAATTATTCATTTATTGTTATTAAGCCATTGAATTTTAGTCTGTATCTGACAAAATGGGGAAGGAAATCTAGATAAATTAGTATCGGTTAATTTGTAGTGAATGGTTTTGTGAATTAAAGTAAATGGGGGATAGAAGTTATGTATGTGTGTCAATACATGTGTGTGTGTGTGTGTGTGTGTGTGCATAGTTACATTTATGTGTGGATGCACAAACGTGCATGCAGGTTTTTTTTGTTTTTTTTTTGTGTATGTGATTTTGTTTGTATAAGAGTATAATGTAAGCATTACAGATTGACCTGATAGTCAGAATAGTGAATTTCTTTTTAGAAAGTGCTAGTATAAGATAGATTTGGGTTGGGTATGTGTGTAGGTTTAGTTGAAGATTTAGTATCGCTATGGAATTATTATTTAATATGTAAAACATGGGCTTAAACAATGCAATAAAGATACCAGCTCACCTCGTTATGGATTACAGAAGTAGTAAATCTAAACTGGATGAAGTAAAAAGACAACAGTATATAGTAGAGGAGTGTGAAAAGCCCTGTTTTTATTGGCTGACACTGACTGATATATGTCAATAAGAATGGCTGAAGTCCAGCTTTGCTAGTTCATATGATTACTGTTTTTTGCAATGTCATGGTGTGTAGCACAACGCTTTCAAGGGGGCGGCTTGACTCGTCTAGAATCAGGTCGGGGTTGCTGTTGGAGCCGATATGATGCAAAACCTGAAATTGGTGATGAGAACAGTGCATCACTGAAGACCGTCTTTGATGTATCTAAAATGTATGATTTAACTAGCTGCAATAAAAAGGTCTAAAAAAATAAATGGAAATAGTAATATTTTATGTATATTTTAAGTCTATAAAGGAAGAATAATGAAGATATGTATATAAAAACTAATATTTTGTCATGTTAGATAAAAGTTTATATAGATATTTCTCTGAATAGTAGAGAATAAAAACTAAATTTTAATTCTCAGTTTTATTATAAATGCAAACTGAATTAAGTGAACACACCTAAAATAGTTTGTCAAGGTTTTAAATGTAATGTTAATGACATCAGATAAGAATATGAGACTGAATTTTTCATTCACACAATAATTATTTATTCATTTCTGGACTCTGTCAAATTAACTTTAGCCATGGAGGGTATGTGGTTCTGAGTCTTTCTTCAAATATTTGATCTTGTGACAATGTGAGTCCCCTTTGTAATAAGTTCAGTGCTATTAGAAGTTCCTGTTATCTGGTTGTCTCTTTTGTGCATAGCCTAAATTCAGCTGTGTTCACTTCCTCATTGACCAACATCTTTTGAGACCTGCTTCTGCACCTGGTTACCATGCTGTTTAAGCATGAGAATGCTGATAATTTGGATATGTCACTTGCCTGTTTACTTTCTGTTCGGACATTTGAATCAAGATCAGATTTGATTGTTTGCTTTCTTACAGGAGAAAATTTACAGGTAAAACCTATACATATACACTTGGCATATTATACAGATAGGTTCATTATGTCTAAACACATCTGGTGCCTTGTGATAATGATGTGCATGCATGATCAGCCAATCTTCATCTAAGAGAAGCTTGTGCATTTGCTGTGTTGATTCCATAATTACTTAGTGCAAACAGCTTTTCATTTAATATCATCATCTTTTTTCTAATACACTTTCTTGTGGCAAAAATGAAAAGATTGTTGTAGGTGTTATGGAACAATTTGAATTATTACAGGACCGTTGCCAAAACCATTTACACTGTTAAATGTTCTCATTTGTCACTTATTTTGTCTCTTGTCAGGCATTCCATCATTATTTGTGTCCCACTGTTGTCAGCTATATTTGACAAACTCCCAAGTAAGTTAAAATCTGGCCATCACATCAATGTTAGTCCTGTTTATTTCAACATTGGGATCAATGAACTGGCAACTCTTGCGGAGAAGTAAGTGTATTTATCTTTTTATTCAATTCTCAACATTTTAGCATTCACTGATATTTTTTCATTTTTTTTCTGTTTAAATTTTCTGTCTAGCCAAGAGAGTTTAAAGTTGGCTTTTTTTGTTAGTGTTTTTGAAAATTAAAGTTACTTTATGCAAGTTTTTTTTTCCCTATCTGAAACAATTCTAAGTTGACTATTCATTTTTTTGAGCCTTTTTTCAACTTTAAAGATCATAGTTACAAATCTTGGCTCAAGTTCATGGATATGAAATTTCTGCAATTATTTTTTCATGTTTTCATATGTCATTAAAGATTAGGATTTGAAGAAATAAAAGTAGGTTTAATTTGAGTTGTTGCATTTCATTCTAGTGAATTGTTTATATTTGAAAATGTCAAGTTGAAGTTTCTCTATTTTTGTGAATAAATATTTAAAAAAAGAGAAAAACTACACTTGTTGGATATTAAAAGCTTTGGTACAAGGCTAGGTTCGTGGGGTATCTACTAAAGAATGAATTCACTAACAATGGCTTGCAAGACAGTTATTGATTGATGACTTGTGTCTGTTATAGAATGTTTGCATGATGTTCATTCTGAATGACTTGCAAGCCAGCATCATTATCTCTTTGCCATCACAACAACTACTTTGAGAATTTAATTCAAAATAGGAAATTAAAGATTTTTATAAAAAAATTATTTCAAAATACCATGGTTTATATTATGGAGATGCTTCAGTTGTGGAGATTATGCCAGTAAAAATATATTATCAATTTTTGGTATATTTACCTTTTTTGAAAATATATATATATATATTGAATTTTTTTTCTGTTGAAGATTTGGCAGTACAGCTCTTCAGGAGGACATAAATAAGATGGGATTGAAAAAAATAAATGACTACTTTGAAATCTACTGCAGAATTATGGGTGACCCAGGTAAGGAGATTAAGTTAGTATTTTGTGTCCCATATGTATTCACTTAGGCATGTAGAGATCATTGTAGCCTACTGTATTCAGGCTTGTCAAATTTTTCTGTTGGATGTTTGAATTGCTTACAAATTACAATAATGTGAAGCCTTGAATATTATACAAATCTATTTTTAAAAAAATGAGCTTTGTGTTATAGTTTTTTTCTACCAGAAGCTGGTATATTATAGAATTTAGAATTTTTTTTAGTATAACTGTATATGATGTGTTTAAAATAATATACATACACACACACATATATATATATATATATATATATATATATATATATACACACACACACAAGAGTGCTGAAAAGTTGCATATTTAAGAAATTGGAGCAAAAATATTATATAAGTGAAAGGATTCCTGCAGGTTGCAAAATTCATTGGTCACTGAAAAACAAATGGATGCAGAATCCAAATGTGTATGAATACAAGCAATAGAAATACACTCTTTGGCATAGGAATATACATCCTTGAAAACCCACAGTTGGTCAGATCAAAATTTGCATGTTCTGCTGATTTTCATATAAACAGGCTAGAAACAGGGTTCAGATTTTTTAATTATTTTCAGCAGAGAATACACACAACTTGTGGGTTTTTTGTTCAGTATGGAAAGTGACTACTTTCATTGCTATATTTTTATTACTTAATGATGATATTATTAATATATTATTGTGTGGATTTAGAATAGTTAAAGAAATTTAAAAGTAGTGACTGCATAGGTACATTTCAAACTTTTTGGTCTTTCTCTTGATTTTAAATTTCTGTTTTTGTACTTTTGTGATTTCAGACAGCAATCAAAGTGGTATTATGACAGGGCGCCTAACTGATCTTATCAGACAACTGCAATACAATGTGCTGTCAAAAAAAAGTAAGAATGTCGATGTTCTTCATATATCTGCTGAAGTAAGTCACAAATTTCTTTATCAACCTGTAAATGACTTTGTTACTCAAAAAAATCTCCCTGCATCTGCAAGTGACTCTGATCACTGAACGCTTGCATGTTTGAATTTCATAGTTTTCTTGTCACAAGTCCTTCAGTGGTAACAATGAAAACGATCTTGACTGAAATTGAGAACAAGGCTACTGTACTTGAAGGGCGACCGATGGAAGAGGAAGTAGTACTTGCAAATAAGGCAAATTGCTAAGGATTAAATGAAGACATTGATTTGTAACCTAGGAAAATGACCATAGTAGATTTTTCATAGTGTAATAACAAAAAATTTAGTATTAACTAGTATTTAGTATTAACTAGTATTAACTAGTGAAGAAGAGTGTTCAAAAGTTCATGTGTTTTCCTACAATTGTTAATTCTTTCCTTTCTAAGTGTTCTAAAAAGCTGGACTTGTCAGACTTTGCTTTATTGTACAATTATTTTTATCTAGAATTCTAATATTTTTTTGGACTAGTGTTTTCATCTTTGCTTTCATTACTGTCAACAGTATAGAAAATGGAATTAGCAGTTTGTTCAGTTTACACTTTGAAAAGGCATGAATCCAACTTTTCTAGCCTTGCTAGGCAACTAGTCTAAGAGAAGGAAAAGTCTGAATTCAAAATCATAAAGAAGACAATGAGAAACAAAACCAGTTTGCACAAACAGATGATGTGGAGAGCTATGATCACCTGCATTGCGAAGAGACATAGCCCATGAGTAAGAGATTTTCACTGGAGGTATTTTCTAGTATTTTTCACTTGTATATCACATTGAAAGAAGTTTGGAATGTAATTCATTTTCTGCAATAGCATAATTTGTTCTCTTTCTTCATGTTCTGCATTCTCCCCTAAAATTGAACTGATTGCATAACAAGAATTCATTAGAATATCATCACCATCATCATCAAAAACAGTTTTTTCACTTGATGAGAAAGAAAATTGTTTCTCTCTTAAACCACCCTATTGAAAGGTTTAAGACATTCTCTCCTTATTGTTATAGATCACTCCACACTTCCTTTCACTTCCCATAGTTTTAAAGGATTTTTATGAATTACCACATCCAAGTACATAACTGATTTTCTTTTTTCTTCTTTTTCTTTTTGCAGTATTTCCTATTTTTTTACCTCTCATTTTTTCAATATAACCATAGAATAAAACAATTCCTTTTTTAAATAGATCAAAATGTAACATTTCTTTTTTGTATTTGAATTTAATCAAAATGGCCAATAAACTAAATGGGCTTGATTTTCAAATCTATTAAATATCTTCAAATCAAAGTTTTTACAGTTTAAAAATAAAGATTGAGAATACATCAATTCAACTATAACTCTTCATTTCTTTATCTTCATTCTTTTATGGAATCAGTATTGGTCTGGTGTAAAGATATGTCACATCTCGATACCATATTTGCTTGTAAATTAGGATCTTTAATATAGCAACTTTTTAAGGTATGTTACTGGTAGCAAAAGTATTAAGTTTCCCTCTTGAAACCATTGTATACAGGACCACTCTACTACATCCAAATTTTCATAAAGTAGTATTCATATAAAATACAAGTTTTATTGTAACCTAATTATGTACAATAATTGACACGTTTATACACATACAAAAAAAAAAAAAAATTCAAAATTCTTTTTAAAATAATGGTGGTGGGGGTCACTAAATTGTAGTAAGCTTTTCTATTCATGATTAGTAAATATAGTTTTTATTTAATTAGATCATCACCTAACAGGTACAAATTAAAACATAATTTTAAGATTTAAAGCCTTATAAATTATTCTAGTTAAGTTTAAAAAAAGATGAAAATTGTTTTAAAAATTAATTATTTTTCAAAAACACTTTTTTTTTTTTTTTTTTTTTTTAATACAATAGTGTCCATAATATAACTTATTCATATAAGCAATTAAAAGCTTTTCTAATTAAATGTCTTGCTTTTATTTAGGAATCCCCACTGATTCGCTAAAAAATGAGCATACCATGATGAAAAAATGCTCCAAACTTAAGAAAAATATAGTTTTAACATCAAAATCTTATTAAGAGGAAAGACCAAAAGACATTTTGATTATTAAATTATATTTTTCATCCTTTTTAGACCGTTCAAAATTTTGCTTAAAAATTTTGTTTTTCTTGCATCAGTGTTAGTAAAGATTAGTATATAGAATTTTAGCATCTTTTTTCAGTGAAGAACACATTGATTTTGAAGTTCTTGCAAAAAATCAAATAATTGGCAGATTTTAATGAAACTTTCAGGATATTCAAAAATGAATGAAATTGATTTTTGAAATGTTTCTTTTTTAGAAAATCTTTGAAAAATATTTTTTTACATCTGTTAACAATTACTTATTGTTTTCATTTTTTTTTTATTTTAATTAGAATAATTTGTAAAGCTTTAAATCTCTTAAAATCCTAATTAATATGTACTGATTAGGTGATATTGTTATTAAGTAAATATTATATTTAATAATCATAAATGGCAAAGCTTACTACAGTTCATCAAAAATTTAGGAAAATATTCTCCTTTATCGAATGTTTATTGAATTTTAGGTACTTTGGCTTTAAATTTACTATAGTTGCTGCTCTTATTTTCTTATAATGTTGTGTATGGACGTCTGTATTTACAAAAATTATATGTTTATAGTATAAATATGTACAAATTTTGTACACCTACAAAAAAAATTAAAAATTCATTTTAACCCTTTGTAGATAAAGCCTCATTTGAAATTTCAGTGCCAAAAAGATGGAGCCCTCGTTTGGAACACAAAAAAAATCAATATAAAATCATAGGCCATAGCAAACTATAATAGAAACTGCCATTGAAAGGCCCAGACTTGCAAGAAATGTGAGAAGCAGTCTGATTGGCCAGTACAAATACCAGCCAGCAAATCTCGAGGCTTATATTATTAGGCCAATGTATCGACTGGGTCGATGGATCGGCCAAGTCATCTTTGTCATTTGACATTTTGAGCTGATAGATTGGCCCTGTCATCTAGTAAGGGTTAAAATATTGAGGATCGCTAAATTGTAATAAACATTTCCATTTATGATTAGTAAATGTAGTTTGTACTTAATAAAAATATCACCTAACATTTGCAAAGTAAGACAGAATTTTAAGATTTGAAACTTTTTATAAATTATTATAATTCAAATTTTAAAAAAATGAAAAAAATTATTGTAAAAATTCATTATTCATTGAAAAAAATTTTTTAAGACAATAGTGTCCATAATATATCTTCATAAAAGCAATTAAGAGGGTTTCTAATTAAATGTCTTAGCTTTATGGCATTTTTTATTTTATGATTCAGAGATTTCCAGTAACTTGTGGTCCTATTTTACAAAAAGAAATTGATTATTTAAATTCTCCAATGAGTTCTGCTTTTAATTAATATAAACATTAAGTGCAACAAAAATTAATTTCTCAAAATTTACTAAAATTAAATAAGTGTGTGTGTGGGGGGGGTAACAGATGCAAAATAAAGAATTTATATTTTTACCAAGATTTTCTAAAAAAACATCATTTCTAAAATAATTTCATTCATTTGTGAATAAGTCCTGAAAGTTTCATTAAAATCTGATAGTTTTTTTCAATAATTTTGAAATCAATGTGTTTTTCACTGCAAAAAAAAGACGTTAAAATTTCATATATTGATCTTTGCACCTCTCTGACTAACAAAAAAAAGAAAAAACTTTTAACCAAAATTTCGAACATTCTAAAAAAGGATAAAAAAATTCAATAATCAAAAAATCCTTTGGTATAATAACAAAGATTTTAACAATAAAACTGTTCTTATTAAGTGGGGAACATTTTTCATCATGGTATGCTCATTTTTTAGCAAATCTACAGTATCTACTTTTTATATAAAATTATTTTATTCAAATTTAAACTCTAGGTAGAAAAATAAATGCTGACTAGCATCCAAAAAAGAAAAAAATATAGAATACTTTTATATGCTGAAGTGATGTTAAAGTTTTTTAAAAGCAAAGGAGTTTTCCTTCAGTTTGAAATCTGAGAAATTTTCTCTAAGAATATGAAAAAAAATTCTGTCAATTCCAATATCTAAGAATCTTTTTTTTTTTTTTTTTTTTTTTTTTTTTATGGCATTGTATCTCTCCATCTCCTATCCTTTATATCTTTATCCTTTCTTTCACTATCAGCTCTTCTTTTTCTCACTTCTATGTTTAAAAAAAAAACTAACATAGCAATGCTGACTGCTTGTAAAATGTCACTAAAGCAGCACTTGAAAGTGGGGGTCATCTGGAAAGACACTCAGGATTTTATGGGTTGATAGTGATTTTATATCAACCCATAAAATCCTGTCAAATCATACATGAAATGAAATGAAATTGATTTATCTATAAGTTTATCAATGTTGTTTATATGTGTATTGTGTTTTTATAACTTTTTATCAGTGAGATAAAAAAAAAAATGAATATTTTTTCTTTTTTCAATTTTGGTCAGTGTGTGATAAAGGGTACTAGTATGTTTAGCTTGATTCCAAAGCACACAGAGGTGGGAATTTGGTCAAGTTTAGCTTTAAGAATCAAGAGAAAAATGCCATTTCTGAGATTATTCCCAAACTTGGTTCTTGACTTCATATTTTCCCTTGCTTTTAAAATATTTATGACAATACAATGTACTTTTTAATTATTAATGAAGCTCCTAAACGGCTAAGTAAAATTATTTTGTTACTATTCTCCCCGTGTGGATGATAAAATGCTAAACACTTCATTTTGGGAAATTAGGTGAGAGTGATTGCAAATTAAACAAATTTAATTAGGGGATCAGTTCGTTAAAACTTCTATGAAGTGCTCAAATGCTGAGTTGTTTTCTTTTTAAATGGATTCATGATATTCATCAGCACATTTTACATATACATGTCAAATTTCATTGCTTTATCTTGAATAGTTTTTTTAAACAGGATTTTAGTTTTAGATTTTTTTTAAAATTTATTTTAAACCTTAGATATCACCTTTTTGCAGAGGTAATGCTGTTACTATTTATTTAGGATTAATGAACATTTATTTAATGAATCTTAATTAAAAAAATAAATAACATATTTAAGCAATCCAAATTCAAAAGTAAATGAATAAATACTTTATTTACAAGGTAGGCTTTTGAGTATTTATTCACAAGATAATCATTATTAATTTATATATCATATCTACCTAATAATAAAGATATTAGATAATTATTATTAAAATTATAAAAAATATTAATAATTATAGAAAATTTAAATATAAAAGATATAATTTATTTTTTTATTTATCTAATACATTTTGCTTGTGGTGGGCTTTTGCCTGTTTTCAACTTTTTAATAGAAACTTTTTTTTTTTAACATCTGAACTGAAAAAAAGATTTATTCTGAAATCCTGCCAGAACATTTTTCACAGAAGGTAGGTAGGGCTTGTGTTGTCAAGGCACATATTCGTATCTTTTTGATACAAAGTTTTTGATCCAAAAACAAGACTGAAAAACATTCAAATATGGATGGAAAAAAAAAAAAAAAGACCCCAGAAGGACATCAAAATCTGCAAAAGTTTTTCATCCTTTACTAGTCAGTTGTGCTTAGTTTAATTTGTAATGTATCTAAATGTAAGCAGAAAAAGCAAATGTTAAGATAGCAAGGGCCACAGAGAATTGGTGCCCCCCAATGAGACTTGCCACTTGCATCCCTGGTCTGGTGGTATGTGTCAACTCTGATCATATAGGAAGATTTAAGTTATTTTGTTTTTATTGTTAAAGATTATCTTTGTCTACAGCAGCACTTTCTATGCACCCATTAGTTTTATTGTTGAATTATGAAATTTCCCCATTGAAATATATCTTTCTGTTCTTCCTCAAAACTTTAGTTGACTAAATTGAAGAAAGCGTTTTCTATTATCCATGATGATAGCCAGAAGTATTTTTTCGATCTTCTCTTGAATTGATATTGACCAAATTCTATGTTTTCTGTCAACTCTTTCTTTCTAAGATGAATGGACATTACTTGATTTCATTACCAATAAAATAAACTCAAAATATCAACAAATTCAAAGATCATTGCAATGTAAAATAGTTTGCTTGTTGAGAAATTGATTTTCATAGTGTGATCCAGATTAAGAGTTGCTTGACCGTCCGTTACCAGAATGCAGGCACTTTATGCCATTACGAGTACAGGGTGCTGAAAGGTTATCAGTCCAACTCACTTTTCTAAATCTGATTGAACATCTCATTTTCTTTTGGAAGGGCCCCTTGGCTGGGTCAGTAAATTTTCAGTAACCCTTTGTAAAGTCAATAAATAGTTTGATATATAGTTTCAAAAAATTAGACTTGTAATCTCATTATTCTGATAACAGAATTGACATTTTGTTAGTATATAAAAATATACATTTTTGATTGTTGTTTTATAACGTGTTTTCTTTCCTTGTAATTGTCAGTTTTTTTTTTTTTTTTTGTTTTTAAATTTTTGCTGTTCTTAGCAGTTTGTGTGATAATATTCAATTGTTTGTTTTGAATACAACTGTTTCACTTTTCTTTTTAATTATTTTCTTTTAAGTTTCATCTGCTAAATTGACATTGTCAGGAAGTCCCACTTTTAAAAGGTGTTAAATTTCTCAGATAACTGAAATTCATGTACTTAACCATAATGCAGATAATCAAATCTACAATGTGATATTCATTTTTATGCCTGTCTCAATCATAAAGGTTGTTATGCAGAGAAAATTTGACCTTTTATGAAGCAATATTGACAAGAGATTATTAGATTTGGGATTTTTGTTTATCTTAGTTCAATTGCAAACATCAATGACACTTGTAACTTGTGGAATTTGAAGTCAACTCAACTTTGTTTCTGTTATCAGAAAACTGATAGGATTGTTACACAATTCTAAATTTTGATGTCTTTAGAAGAAAAACATTAAGTATATTTTAACTAATCTATTTTATTTAGGTATTTGCCATTCTCTTAATAGCTGATATTTTAATTTTGCTATTTATTTATTGTTTTAAATAGTTTTTGTATCTCAGAATAAATGCAGAATATGCTTATGTATATACATGTATAATATGTCTAAATGTAATTATATATACAAACATACACACACACAGTGTGCAATGAATGAATTGTCTAAATTATGCAAAAATAAAAATAACACTGACATCTCATATATTTACCAAAATGACACAAAAATATCTTGAAATACTAAAGAGTAAATTTATTCAATAAAATCACCATTGACTTCAACCATGCCCTCCAGATGACTTCAGAATCTCTTGCAACTCTTCTGGATGGTTCACTTGTTTAAGTTGGTGAAATGCTGCTGTAATCCTTGCTTTCAGTTCATTTTTGATGTTACAAGTTGATCTTTTGCTCAACTGTGTCCCACATATAACCAAGAGGGCTGCAGTCTGGGGAGTTTGGTGGCCAGATGTAAGGGGTGATGTAGTCACAGCAATTGTTTGATACATGACTGGGTTCTCCTGCTTGTGTGGCATGGTGTAGAGTCCTGTTGCCGACATAATCTTCCAGCAGCCACTGTCTTGACCCCGGGCAACACTACCTCTGAGGCCCTGTGGGAAGATGAATAGAGGCCTAATGTTGACATTACTAATGATCACTCCAAATACAATGATGTTGACTGGATATAACATCCAACTCTTTTTGGATCCTCTGCACTATCCACAGATTGACACCCAAAGGCTCTGAAATGTTCGTAGTGGAGCTTCTGGCACATATGCCAAGCAGTACATGTTGTTTGCAAATTTTCTGGCGGAGTTAATTGCGTTATGGTGCTCTTTTTCTCACAGACAGTGCCCAGCTGACCCTACTAAACTGTATAGTTGAAAAAATCAAACAATATGCATGTGCAACAAAAAAGAAACAGACAATTTGCCCATTGCACCCTCTCTCTCATATATATATATATATATATATATATATATATATATATATATATAGGACTAATTCAAATAAAATTTGTCACTTACCTGATTGACATTATATTCAGCACATTGACTCCAGAGTTTCATATACAAACTTTTCCGTAATTGTTCAGTCCATTTTTCAGGAGGTTTCAGCAATTGACTTGTGATTTTTCTCATTTTTTGTTATCTTTATTCTCTCTCTCTCTCTCATATATATAAGTCCAACGTTTATTTAATGTATTTTCTGTTTATACATTATTTTTATAGATATAATTTATTTAAGTAAATGCTCTGTCTTTAATTGTATTAATTACAATTACCGACCTGAATGTTTGAGAGATTTTGTAGAAAATATGTGCACTTCTGACAGGAATTGAACCTATAATGCTTATAGGAACCATCATATAGCCTGACGTGCCATTACTATTCAGCCATGTTAAAGGTTTATAAACAGTAATTCAGGCTTTGCTATCCAAGACAAAAAAAGTTAATAAAAATGTTATTTTGCCCCTCTCTCATTTATTTTCATATATATATACACACACACACACACTATTAAAGAAAAACAAAAAAATGGTGGAACCAATGGACAGCTTGCCAAAATCTAAACTCTTATCCAGATACAGTTTTTAATAAAGGTGACAATACTGAAAAAAAGAAAGAAAAAAAGACCAAAGTGTAAACTTACCTACTCAGTCAAGTGCTCAAAGCCTAGATTGCCTGGATCAAGCAAAAATACTTACCAGCATACAATCCTAAGAAAGGATAGGGGTGTGTGTGTAGAGATATATATATATATATATATATATATATATATATATATATATATATATATATATAGTGGGGGTATAGGGATCAGCATGTCATAGTAATTGCCAAATTTACAGTTCAATTTAATCTTAAGACCAAGTATCACACACTTCTTTATTCGTGATATTTGAGTGAGCTATGTATATATATATACATCACTAGTGTATTAAGGGAGGTGGTAAATATTTAATAGAGGTGGAGTCATACCTTACCAAAGGGTATTTGCACATAAATATGACAAACCAAACTGAAATTGGAACTTAACTCTCTGATTAACAATTCCGAGACAATGTCAATTACACCACCTGCACATCCAAGCTGACAGCACCTGGTATTCCTAAGTGGTCACTCAACTGGGTACTGATCAGTCTTGATGTTGTTTAAATTTGGTGATCGGTTGGGAACTGGTGTTTCAACATGATATGACCATAAGCCCACTATGCATTGTTGCAGTTTCTATATCTATAAATGCTCTCTCTGATTTTGAGCACTCTTTTCTGAGATATAAAAATGTGTGTGTGCCTCTATCCATAAGTTAGAGGTATGCTGAAAAGATATCATCCCAGTCCACTTCACAAAATGTGACCAAAAAAGCAAGCGTCTGAATTTTATTTTGTTATTTTTTTAATCCCTTAGTCAAACCCAAAACTTTCCAGCACCCCTTATAATATCCTCTTTTTCTGAACATGAAATGTTTAGATTTTAGATGTTTTGTAGATCTCTCTCTCTCTCTTCCTTCTTCCCTATGACCCATATTGTTTCAGATCATCACTCTCCACACGTTCCTTTCTTTTTGCCGTCTTAATGAATGCCTTTAAATTCTGGCATTAGGTTTTCAGCTACAAAACACTATTTTTCCATATAGTCACTACCATTGGTTATAAATTTTTGAGGCACTTTTTGTTTCATGGGTTTGACAGCTGTGCAGAGCCACTTGGAGCATAGCTTGTCATTCACATTGCTATCACAACTACTGAAATGCATTGCCCACCATCTAACTGGGCTCATATCCACTGTTTGGTCTCAGTAAACATTCAACAAGTGTTGATGAATATCTATGGGTGCAATTTTTTTGCATGGAAGAATTCATTGATACATTTCTACTTCACATGCACCTTTATGTTAGATGATATTTCTCAACTGTTATCAAACTTGGCAAAAAAATGTATAGGTTATTCATCTTATATCATGTGGGCAAACATAATAAAATAGGAGGCATTACTATTAGAGCAACATTTTGGTTTGTAAATAAGATTAGATATTTTTCCTTTTATTTTATATATAACCTGCTACTTTGGGAGATGAGAGTTGAAAACATTTCAGAACATTTAAAAAGGATAAAGAAACAATGCACATATACATGATGGTGAATCAATAAGTTTGTAGCCATGTTTTAACTGAATTTTGATCTGAAATTTTCACTGTGCAATGCCTGATCTATGCTATTAAAGTTTACTACTTAAGTGCATTGACAAGGAGATTATGTTGAAAAATAAATGCATTATATATATATATATATATATATATATACATACATACACGCACACGCAAGCTGATGTACCCACTAATTTCAGGAAAGGCTGATGTTATCCCTAGTTCTTGTTCTTATATCCTTTCTTCAGTTATCCAAAAGTAACAATTCAAAGTAATTAGCACTGAAACAGCCTTTTGTGTATTCACAGAGAATATCTAACCACTGCCCCTAGGACTTTTGGAGGAAATACCAATATGTTATGAATACCTAAATTGTAAAGTAACTTACATAACAACAGGCAAATTGGTTATCCAAAAGTAACAATTCAAAGTAAGTAGCCTTGAGAAGGGCTTTGTGCATTCAGTGAATATAGCTCTTAGGAGGGCTAGTGTTAAAATAAATTTACAATAGATGTACAAATAGGATAACATGTAGGTTAATAGAAAATTTACAGCACTGACAAATCCTACAGTTAAATCATAAACACCTGATGACTGTGTGTTTCTTATCAAGTTTGCAGAGCCTCTTGATAAACAATATTTTTGGTCTTTCCATGTGGGGTATAAATAAACAAATGATTGGGATTGCCGACTGTTGAACAACCCACAACAAGCTGGCCATTGGATAAAACTGTGCATCAGTAAGGCCTACCATATCCAAGGACTGCCACGGAACTTTGTTAATGCTGATTGCAAAACGGTTTCACCGGGAATTGCAGCCGCTTGAACTGGAAAGGCATATCTAATGGAATAAGTGGAATTTTAGGAATAAATACAGCCTCACCACTTGCTTTGCCAGTTAGAATTGTCATTTCCAAGACTGTTGACATCATCTTTTTAATCATGTGCTATTGCAAAGCTTTGGGGGATCCAGGTTTCTTAGCAGTGTCACTGGTGCTCCAATCTTGAGGTGTAAATTGTGAGTTAAAAGGCCTGATGGTGTTAGGCTATTTAAAGATTCAACTGGATAATTCACAGCTTCATTGGCATTCAGTACTGTGTCATTGGAACTGTAGCTGCAACAGTTATCTGGCAAATGTTCCAGAAGTTTGATGAGAACTGCCACATTCTTTGGGGCTGAATTGGCATGGGTCCTCAGCCAGTTGTGGTCTGTAAACCGATTCCTCAGGTTAGGAAACATCCTTGTCATTAGTTCTTTTAAATCAGATACCATATGTCCAAAAGGCAAACTCACCTGGCCATCCTGCTTGCCAACCACATGCCATTACCAACATCCAATAGTTACTTAGGAAAAGTACCAGCTTTCTCATAACCACTCAGCTGCACACTCATGTTGGTTGTGAGACTCAGCTTTTTCACACTGCTCCAAAGGTAGGAAGACTTTATACTGATGTTTACCTCATCAGCTCTTGTCCCTTTCAGAATCACTGGAAGGATTTGTCTAAAATCTCTCACAAGTAAAACTGTTGCACCTCCCATGAGCTATGTGTTGTGTCTAAGATCCTAAAGTGCCATTTCAAGAGCCTTGAAGTAACCCTTATGGTTCATTGTCAACTTTATCCTAGATGATAAAGTTGTAATCATTGAGGGGTTGGCCTTTTATAGAAACCTGACTGATGTTGTAGGTTTGCCTTCTCTTTCTTGGACAGGTTCAAATGGAGTTTGAAGAATGAATGAGCTGTGCAGCCACCACTTAGCAGGGTTGCAGCTATTCTGCTTGATACCATGGCTAGAACAATGCATTTCATTTTGTGCAGTTTAGCCAGAAGTAGGTTGATTAATGTCTTGCCAGTTCCTCTTTCACCTTCAATACTCAAAATAATCATTGTTATAAACACTCAGTTGGTCCTCCATCAGTTTGTTTGTTATCAGCTATATACGCTGTTATTTCCTCAGTGTCATGGCTGATCTCTCACATGTACTCAGTTGTGAGATTTTTTGCTGCCTGCTCAGGTTGAGGTAGGCCAAATGGCAATTCGTTGGCTTCCCATAGCTTGCACTCGAGTGTCCAGGTCAATTAATACCTCATTGTAAATGGTATCATTGAATGTGACAATTTGCCTTTGAATCCTTTGTAGGATGTCCTCTGCCATGCTGGTTTTGTGGATTGCTCAAAGCTTGAGAGGCTCATCCAAGCCACATGTCATCAACATGATGGAAAGTAGCTGGCACACTTGACTTGGTGCTCTACTGACTGCTGCCTTCTCCAGTGTCTGGTCCCAGTGGGCATTATCCTCCAGTAGTTCATGTTTGGCACAGGCTTCTCCGTAGGTCATACAGACTTCTCCATTATATCTCAGATTTGCTCGTTTTCACAATGGCATTACAATCTTGTAGTTCAAAGCTATTATGTCACTTCTGTTCTTCCGTACAATAACTTCTCCTGATGTAAGTTGTCAATACATTGATGAATCCATCATTCGCACCTCAAAATGACAACCACCAGATGGGAATTGAAAGTAATATCAAAGTCACACCCCCTTTAAGGAAAAGTCTTCAGCTGGTTTGATTGTTCTTTTCTTCAGTTACCACAAACTTTGCTTTGAAATTTGTACCAATTCAGAGAAGTATTTTCTCCTAGATTTTGTATGTAGTTAAATTTTTTGAGTACCTTTGGTCAGAATTTTTTTTGTGGGAAGGCAACTACAGATTTCTTTTTAATGAAATAACCTTTGTATCAGTCAGATTGTGTCACTTGAATGTGTAAATTCAAACAGATAACCTTATCTGTCAAGTATTTTACAATTTATAAGAGTATTATTTCAATCCCTATTATTAATTTAATGTAGGGGTGTTTTTGTAACCATGGTAACAGTCAGCTACAAAGAAAGACTATGCAAAATTAGGGGATCAAATATGGCTTATTTTAACAAAACAACCTTTAATTCTGTTAGATCATATCCCCCAAATGTGTAAAATCAAACAAAGACTGATTTATGTCTGATTTGTATGGACGTTAGGGCCATGTTAAGTTTCCAATAGAAATTTCTATGTAGCTGATCGTGCTGGTTGCTAAAATCATTTTCTAAAACAACTACTATGACATATTCAAAATGTTTTATAGTTAAGGCTCTCCTTAGTTTTCCTTCAGTCCCAATTTCTAAGAAGAAACCCTAAGGAAGTGTAATTATATTTATTTTTAAAAAATCACATCAAATTATATTTTTGCAATGTAAACACATTACAGACATCATGTTCAAAGAAAGATTATACTGAATTAATGTGTTAAATAAAGATTTTATTTAGAAAGTAACCTACGAATTGTTCAGATGTTGTTCCCTAAATTTTTAAAATCGAACAAAGATCCATATCTTTCTAGAATTTTAAGCTTTGTAAGAGTTATTTTTTCATAACACGTGTATCCTAATTTCTAAAAAAGTTTGCGAGATCAATTATTTCCCTTGCTTAAACACAGTGATAAACATGTAAACAGTGTTTTGTGTGAAAACCTGGTGGCATGCTGCAATCTAGGGGCCCAAGTGGTCCTATTATAAATTTTTATAAAAAATCAATTAGCTGAGTAACAAACTGGATGTTTAACATTGCAAAGTTTCATCAATATTGGTTCATGGGTTTAGGTGGCAACTTGATTCAGACAGACAGAAATTGCCATTTAAATCTATAGATATATGCACATATACATAAAAAAAAGCATTCCTTGTTAATAATTATGTGTCTTTCAGATTACCAGAAAATTGAATGGTGTTCGTTTCATTTGCTGCAAAAGTGGTAAAGATCGAACAAGTATGTCAACTACACTTGAACAAGTCCAACTTCTTCAAAGAGAACATGACCTGGCTCCTCATGTTTTTATGCAAGCATTGGATTGCTTTCGGAGGTAATTTGCATTAATTCTAGTTATTTCATATATATATATATATATATATATATATATAATGTTTTGATTTTGTGTTAATGAATGTTAGATTAAGTAGAAAAAATTTTCTCCTGATAAGAGGTACTACACTGGAATATAGATCAACTTATCCTTTATACACTTTTATATTATCATTATAAATATATTTATGATAACTAGTTTTAAACTGTGAAAATTTCATGGTTTTCCTATTTTAATATTCTGGTGAATCTTAATTCTTGAATTAATGACTGAATAAGCTCATGGCAAATTCAATGACAATAGAATATCCATAGAAATTCCCCTATCACATCGTTAAATATTTGAGCTTAACAACTTTAACAAAATATTGCAATAACAATCATAAATATGAATGCTGGTTGTTATTTTAAGAAGTGGGTACAAATGAAAAGATTTGAAATTGACAACTTTTTCCATTTCATTGAAATGGTTGTTAAACACTTCTATCTTCCTTTCTTTCTTTCACTCATTGTCTTTTCTCCTCTTTTCAAGCCATCAAAACAGAATAGTCCCTTATTTATGAGGTAATGACAGGATATAATGGTTGTGTGAACTTACAAAGGGAGGACCAAGCACAATTAGATTTAATAATAATAATATAAGATAAATTATTTTATTGTATTTACTTTAATATTATCATATTATCCTTTATGTGACTTTCATATCTCCTCCTGATAAAAGGCCAACTGGATATGGAAGCATGGGAATTGCAATTTAATTTCTCTGATTTTGACAGTTCAAGATCACCAGTGAGTAAAGTGTAACACCGGTCACTTTTCCTCACATGCATATCAGAGCTATTCCATGATCTTTGGTATCTGAATCAATTGTCAATTTAAGTTCAAAGATTTTGTCAAAACCATCATCCTTTGTATGGATTTACAAGCCATAAAACTCTTCTTAAAATACTTAGCTTCTTCCCACAAACTACTGCCTTGTGGAACTGACTCCTGAGAAATTGCTTCCTCGATCACTAGAATCTTAATCTGTTCAAATTTTAGGGTTAACCATTATCTTGTACACATATCTGCATAAGCTGTGCCTCTTACTCAGTAACCTACCTTGAGTGGACCTTGAGCCTTTTACAGGGCTAACACTACTGTAAAAAAAAAAAAATCTGTCAATTTGAAAGTATCTATACAAAGATTTTAAATATATATTTCTTGTAACATTGCCTGAGTTTTCAAGTGTTGAACAGATTTGGTTAAGAAAGTAAAGTGTTAATTTGCAGTATAAGTATCAAAATCCCACAGTAATGAAAATGTTCCATTATGGTGTAAAATTGCCTGATTATTTTGAAAATGACATTAAAATTTTGCGCTTTATTAATTTTTAGGAGTTATGGACTATGTAAATTCGACTTTTTTTGCTTCGTTTGACAGAACAGTCACCATTACTGGCTTTTCTCATTTGCCTTGAGTAGTCATGTGCAGAAACTTTACTTGTCTTAATTTCTATGCAATGCATGAATTTTAAAATCAATATGCGATTCCAAATATAGCAGGAAAAATGAGAAATAGTATCAAAATTATGGTCATTGTAAAGAAAAAAAAAAAGAAAAAAAAGATGTTTTCTTTTTTTATCAACAATTTTTTTGTTTTATTTTTTTTGTAAAAGGGTTCATCCATGACATTATATTTATTTAGAAAAGCTTTCAATTGTTTCTATAACAAATTTAAATCAATTGAATAAAAAAAGAATTCATTATTCAATAAAGATTCACTTCTACAAAGAGACAATACTTTTAATTGGAATAAAGGAATTTACATCAATTAAAAAAAACATTCATTTAAAAAAAAAAAAAAAAAAAAAAAAGAAAGCACATTTTAAAATAACTTTCACAAAAATTGCGTAGTAATCAAGACTAGTAAGAAGACCCGAAAAGCAGTAAAAAGGCTATTAACTAAGTAAGCTTCTGTGCATTACTACTCGAGGCAAATGTATTTAAACAACACCAGTAATGGTGATTGGATAACATGAAAGAGATCAAACTTACATTGTTGATAAATCCTAAACAGTAATTGAGCACAAACTTTGATTGTCATTTTTGAAATAATCAGACAGTTTCACACTATAATGGGACATTTTCATTACCGTTGACTTTTGGTACTTACACTGCAAATTAACCATAAAAAGGTTATTTGTAAAAATTTAATCATAAAATAAACAAAACTCTTTTATCACTTCTAAGATTTTATTTTTATTTATTTTTTAGTTTATTGCTTAACATTACTGTGGACATATCTTAGATCTTTATGAAATTTATGTTGCCTGCTGTTGATAATATGTAAGAAACTAATGAATTTTTATTTTATAATCTGACAAAAATTTGGTCACTTGAAAATATTTTTAGTGGATACTCATATTTGAGTAGAGTGCTTAATTTATTTATTTTTTTAACTAGTGTTTATTTTCATCTATTGGCCTGCATATTCAAAAAATTTTATTACAGAAAAAAAATGGGCTTTGGCACGATTTGAACGTGCATACCCCTTTGCATGAGAAACTGTCATTAGATCCAACATGCTTTTAAGCAACTCTGCCACAAGTGGCATCACCGATTAAGTAAAGTTCTATACTGCCTTATAGACCCATTCTTCTTGTTTAGATTCCTGAAAGTTCATAACTGATCAGTTTCATATTCAAAATGTAAACAAACCAACTTTTAAAAAAATAAAGGATTTGTATTTATTAATCTGATAAATTTCTATTACTTTAAATGTGATTTTTAGTGGATGTGCTTTTTTTTTTTTTTTTTTTTTTAAATTTCTCATATTCAGGCTGGCAGATGAAAATAAATACTGTTTAAAAAAAGTAAATGGAGTGTCTACTCAAATATATGTATAACTAAAAATAACATTTAAAGTTGTGTGTGTTTAACAAAATTAAACGGATCTTTGAATTCTTATGCTGAAACTTGAGAGATATTTATTGGACAGTGCAGTAATATAAGACAAAAAGATAATGAGATTTCTCCAAAATTCCTTACTGCACACAATTTTTTAAAACTTCTTTCATAGTGCTATGTTGAGGTACATTTGGTTGATGGATCTGCAGTGCCAATTATAATCATAATTACTGATTATTTAGCATTACCATTTTCTGGATGGAAGAAAGGTATGAGTTAAACAAAAAAAAAAACAAGTAGTCCTGCAGGAGGAAGATAAAATTTTAAGTAGAAGTATGACATAGATTGGAATCTTATCTTCAAATAAAATGCATAGTCATCTCCACTCACCTCGTGATGTCAAGTCCTCAGTGAACTTTTGGTATTACTGGTGCCTTCTAGATTGCTATTATGATGATACTATGAGACAAATCTGTCCAGTAATTGAAATTTTGTTTATCTTCTTTTAACAGTGAAGGAACTCGTCGAGAGAATACAGTCAAGAACACTGGCGTTCGAAAATATCATTTTAACACCATTCAGCTGATGTATATCCCACGGCAGTATCGAGCACCTCGGGGGACTTATGGACAATCACAAGGCTAAGAGAGAAATAAAATGAGACGTATGTGTGTGAGCTTACACACACACACACACACACATGCAATATGGCTCTTTAATTTATATTAACAGAAAAACATGTTTGAGAACATGAACATGCATCCAGGTTTTTGGCAACTGTTTTTCAATTTCATATTTACTACATTCATGACACTCATATATGATACCTGGAGGCATCTTTATTTCCATAATTGCAAACACAGATATATAAAAATGTACAGATCACTGCTGAGTTTTGTTACTATTTTGGAAAAGATAAAATTCTAAATTAATTTCAAGATACACACACACACACACACACACACACACACACACACACACATACACACAATTATGATCTTGTTGCTTCCTCTTAAAAAGAAAGATATTGTTGTTTTTTGAAAAAAAAAAAAATTCCACATGTGGCCAAATGCTTCTGTTTGTCACTCGTTAATAGGGGAGAGAAAAAATTTTTTATTTTTACTCACCGTCTCTTATTATTATATAAAAAGGATCAAGATTTGCTAGTGTCAATTTAAGAAAATGAAAAAAAAAAAAAATATTGAGACAAAGTTGAATAAAACAAAAAGTACATTCAGTCTCAGAAATGCAACTTCAATGTCTCCTATTCCCCCCCCCTCAGCAAACATCAAAAAGTGTTATCTTCTCTGTTTTAAAATATCTTATTTTGTATATAGACGTATGCGCATACATACATATACTTCTATTTAATGTGATATAAAATTTTGTCCCAAGTCTGATCCAATGTTTGTTGTTATTTAATCAATGTTCTTAGTTCTGGAGTTGTCAAGAAAATTTTTGAACATTTTATGCAGCCAAAAAAGAAAATTAAATATCTGAAAAAATGATCATTATTGTTGTTTATCATTTTCTATCAGTTATAGAATCTTTTTCAATGGTAAAATTTCTATTTTGAATCAAAGAATGTTTTTAGTCTTGTGATGAATTTGTGGTCATTTCAGAAGATCTAATCATTCCAGAAGTTCTGAAAATGGATTTGGGGAACAGTTTTCTCTCTTTCTTGGGAAATTAGGAAAAAATATATCAATGGTGAACAGAAATGCAGATGAGAATTATGTTTTTGTTAGCAAAAACAAATTGAGAAATGAAAACGGAATGAACTGCCATGAAAGTTAAGATTATGAAAATCAATCCGTCATGACAGGCAGATAATCTGAGCTGTGTTTTCGCTGAGATGGTGACTGGCCCAGAGATGGAAAGCAGTCTCTGTTGAGAATTTAGATACAGATATATTTTCATTGACGAAAACAAATTGGGGAAATAAGTTTATCTCTTTCTGGAGAAATTAGGAAAACCCATATTATTAATGGAAAGAGAAGCAGAATTATATTTTCATTGATGAAAACAATAATAAAGAACAAATTCCAAGAATCCTTTGGCTGCACACCTGTTAAGGGCCAAAGTGCATATAAGCAAGTGAGTGGTGAGCTCATAGACTTTGGTTGAGAAACTGTATTGAGTGCCTTTGGAATCCACGTCAGCTGCTACTAGAATTCCTGATTCAAAGACTTTGAACCCAGCCTTCCAGAAGTTTAGACAAGGCCCAGTGTCACTATAGGGATTGATGTGGGAAGGGTTAATTTTTATTCTACCAAGAGCTATATAAACTAATTGAAGATTAACCCATGAATCTCTCATTTTATTTTTTCAATGTGAAGATATTTTTCTTCCTTAATATAGCACCTACCATGGCTTGAACTGGCACTGCCAGAATGGTGTTCTGAAAGGATATGGTATTTAAAAAGAAAGACAATTGGAAACTACTTCATTATCTTTCTGAAGAAGTCATAGCAATTCACAGATAAAGTATGTTAATATTGATATAGTTTGTATATTTTATTTATTGGTGTTAATATTTTATTGTGTTTAATTTATAAACTAAACTTTATCATATACGAAAAATAAGCAACTCCTGAGGGTGTATGCTTTCACTGATCTGAGATCAAGAACATAATGTGGGTAGAGATGATGTGGATCGAAGTGACCAACAACCAGATTTAGCATTGAACATTGCAGAGTTAGTGCATGGTTGAAGCATCATCCTAAGACCCTGAGGACTGGACCACTGAATGTGGTTACACCACAGGGTGTAGGTGGCAGCAATAGGCCCAAAAAATGAAAAATAGAGCAACACATACCCTCAAATGAACAACTCTCAAGGAAAATAACTGAAATTTTTATGACAACAACCAAGATGTGTCTCCCACTCACATCAGTGTTGTGGCATTAAAAGAACACACTCTGGGTCCATCATAGGTTTCATATTGTCAACATTGATAAAACAGCATTGAATACAACACTGGATAATGTTTATTGTTCAGCTAAGATAACAATCTTAAATACAGATGCCATGGTTTAATTTACTTGAAATCACAAAAATCCTTCAACTGTGATTAGTGTTCCGAGATTAAAATCACTTTTATTTCAATACAGTCTGTACAGGCTTATACAGCAAACTCCAAAGTGTTGCTTCTGTAAAAAGTGTTGCTTGGGGTGAACTTCCCTCACTCCCACTCTATTAATTATGTTACTGCAGGTGATAGAATTTCCCAACACAGTTGCAACAATTTATTAGAAGTAATCTTTGAGACATGCAGTCTGGATGATTATGCAGCAGGTTAATTCTGTGCAGTTATTGGTGTTTTTTGTTGATTGTATTAAAAGCACTTTGTGTGGCACTTTGATTTGTCTTGAGATCTAGCAGTTCTTAGTAAACTATGTATGCTTCATACCATTCTTCAAATAACAAAACTTTTCCTGATGAAACTCTTTAATATAAGTTTGGCTGGAAATGTTTGCCTGTGTTGATGAACAGACATGCCTACATATGACAGAATGAGGGCAATGTCATTTTACATTTGTAGATTGACTTCTATACCCTGGTGCAATTTACTCAGATCAAGAACTTTAGCATTGCCATATATATATATATATATATATATATATATATATATATATATATATATATACACACACACACACACAACATTAAATCATTCATACAAAAAGTAAATTAGTAAAGTTAATGATATAAAATGGTGAAATCCCTTTGCTAACAAAATTTTAAAGATGAATTAATCTACCAATCACTCGAATGTAATGATCCGTGTTTTTTAAAAGTATGAACTGTTTACTGTACTTAATGAGTTTGAGTAAATGGACAACAAAAACAGGTTTTAGGGGGAGATAAGAAAAAGACAAAATTTAAGTGCTATAAAGAACAGGAAATTGTTGAGTGCCATGATTACCAATGTCCTGAAGGAACACAGCACATAGAATATTTGGATACTTTTTTTTTTTTTTTTTCCTTGCAGGCAGTATTGTATATTTTTAATGTTTTATTATAGAAATTATTGGGTTTCCTGCCATGGAGTAATGGTAAGTGAATTAATCTTGCAGGCCATCACTACTGAGTAATGAATACAATCTGCACTGACACCTTGTAACCTTTCACCAAAATTAACTACACTTAATAAATAACTATTAAAGCAAGTTGGAAATTTGCAGTTTTTAAACTTCTAACTTTAAGTTGTGTCAATGCATATATATTTTTTTTTTTTTTTTTTTTTTTTTTATACAATGTTCACCCATTACAAGATTTACTGACGTAAAGGGCTACAAAGTAAGAGGCACAGTTTGTGGTGGGGGAAGATAACAGTTAAACTTGGATTTTGAACAGGCTAATAGTGTAGTGTCATCATTTTGGGGGTTGGTTCGACAAAGTAGTGGTTTGTGGTAGGAGGCTGTTTGAGTGGAACTTCCATCTTTCCAATGGAATATTTGAGAAAATGAAAGTTATTTGCTACAATGTGTACAGTTTGCATCTTAATTCCATAGAGCTGCTGGAACTACAAATGTAGTTTGATCACTTTCCATGGAAATAGCAATAGAGTAGAGAGAGAGGTGCGTGACTTTTCGTCTGGGGAAAGGGTTGTAGAGTGGAAAATAATTCATCACTCACAAGGACATGGAGACACTTTTGAACTTTATCGACACTAGTAAGTGAAGACTTGGCAGCTACTGTCCATATATGGAAACAGTACTCCATTTTTTGGTTTTGATCTGGCTCTTGTAAAGATCGAGGATAGCAGGTGGTGTCAGGTACTTACTGGAACCATACAAGGAACTGACTATTTCTCAAGAATCTTTAATGATGAATCATATGTCCCAGTTTTACTTGATGTCTTGGTTGAGTTTAAGTCACAATAGGCACTCAAGAGAGAGAGAGCACCTGTTCATCATGATAGGCAAAAATTCAGCGTTTGCTCATTGATGATAGAACATCACTAGTTTGGTTTTCAAGGCATTGAATGCGGCCAGCCAGTTTTCCTGCCACTGCAAGGTTAGAATCAACACAGAGTTGCCAACAATTTGCCAGTGAATTTATTACATCATGATAAAAACTGGGGTTAACTAGTGGAAGGCATTTCCAGCTTGGTCTTGGTTGGTCTATCTTGCTGGGATGTATATGCATTTAATGTCCCCCCTAAAAAATGGATGTCAGTAGAAGACAGATCTGGTGGGGCAGATTGCCTGTTGTTGCTGAGTATTTTTTGAAATATAAAGTGTTATGTTATCCTGCAAAAATATAATTGTTTGCAACTTCTGATGCATCTGTTCCGAATTACAACAGGATTTTAATGTCATGGTGTGACGAGGTTGCAAAAAGGGTGTAATAGATTAATCCATTACAGTACCACCAAGCATTTGAGGAGGATCATTTCAGGGTGAAGATTTGGATATTGGGAATATTGAGGAGTATGCAACTTTGTTGAATCAATGAAAAAATGTTTTCATTAATCGATAACAAACCCAAGAAGACACCTTGGCATTGGGTAATGGTGAATGAGCTATCATGTTGTGAGTTTGATCTTCCCATACTTATGGCCTTGTGTTAAAATTAAGCTAAATTTAGTAAATAACTATTTTAGTGCCTAGTTTTTTGGTAATAGTGAGCTAGTTTG